CTCCGGACATCTGGAGCACTTCGGTCCTCCATTTCACAACGCCCGTCCGAATGAGGGCAACAGAATGCACCTAAAAATGAAAACTACTCGAAACGTCTGGACGCCGTTGTGGTGGACTACTATGGTTGATGAATTATTCCTGTAACCGTGTAACGAGGCCCGGGCCGGCGAGGAGTTGACAGTGGTGGCATTCACCGTACGAGGCGTCTACCCTGGTGAGAAAACCTCACCACCACAGGACAAACTTCTTGACCGTGTTGTCTAGTTATTATAAACTAATATATAGCTGTGAAATCCAGTGAGAGACAATATCTTGCACAATATAAAGGTGTCATTCCGTGTGATATAGCCATTCTGGTTTGATTACCTAATGGGTGCCTTCCAAATTCCTACGTAAAGCTGTTTAATCCTTTCGTGAGCCATTATAGTAAACTATAGTATACACCATTTCCTGGCCAAAAATGCCAAGTTACCAAGCAAGGTGCAAAGGATAAGAGACAGGGATACTTCAAGTGAATAAAAAATAGATTATTCAACTTTTGCAAAACGAATGGGTATACATTCCAAACAAAATGCAAACTCGAAGTCACGCGCCCAGCTCCAAGTCAAAGCCCCTCTCCGCAGCGAAGACGTGGCGCAGGCAGTGCCTCTCGTAGCGCCAGATGAGTCGGTGCGTAATGACACTCTTGCACGCTTCCTCTGCTTCTTTCATCAGCGCCAATCTGTGCGACATAAAGGAGTCATACTCCCCACGACCAGAAACCCCTGCTTTCGTCCTGCCGTGAAACACCGCATCTTGGCCTTCAAGGAGTTCCAACACCCCTTTATGGGGGTCAGCATCGGGCTGTAGGGCCCCAGACGCAGAATCTCGAGCTTGTTCAGGTTTATAATCCCGTCAGCAGCCAGGTACTCTCGAGCAAGGTTCTCGATGTCGTTGTGGGACGGTGCGTTGTCCGTGACAATCACAACCTTGGCCGGTTGAAGTTCCGCGTATTCCTTGGAGCGAAGAGCAGCGATGAAGAGATCCGCCATTAATCTTGCATTCTCGGCCTTCTTCACGGACCCTTCGTGGGTTTGCAGCAGAAGTAGACCAGAGCCACTTGACACCCCTCCTTGGATGAGGAGGTTCTTGCCTTTGGAAGGCGGCAGTTGGACGACCCCAATCCGAGCCCAGCTCTCATTCCGAGACAGGTACAAATTAAAGTTAGTTTCATCTTGAAATACAATCAGGTTACTTTTCTTGATGTGCTTGTTCAGCTCCAAGACAAAGGTCTTGCGCTTCTCCTTGTTGGCGGATGAGTTCATAGTCTCCTTCTCAATGCGTAAACGCTTCGTCGAGTACAGCATGCCCTGTAGGGCGCGATGAATGGACGTCTTGCTGACAATAACGCCCAGCTCGGCTTGCAAGAGGTCAGCTATTTGCTCCAGGGTCATACGGCGGTCCTCGTCGAGAAGTTCTTTAATGTTGCTCATCACTTCAACAGTCATCTTTTACAGAAGCTTGGCGCAAGCCGCCGCGCTGCTTAGGCTCCTGTCCAGCACAAAGTACAGTCCGGCGTGCTGTAAAATAGTTGACGTCGTTAGCCGTGGCAACATCCCTCCAATTCTGGTTCTCCTGGAAGGCACGGACGACGCGAATTTTGGCTTGCGCTCGCTCGAAGGCGCGGTTGGTCTTGTTGGGTTGTGGGGGATGTCATCTTTTAAAATGAGCGGAAAAGCTCACTCGTGTGGCGCGGTATCCGCGGAAGCAACTGGCAATTCGCGCCAAAACGACTGGTTTGCATTTTGCTTGAAAAGTGTACCCATCCAGTTTGCAAAGAATGACAAAAGCACTTTTTGTGATTGTACACAAAGCATCATTCTTTCAAACTTTGCAGTTTGGTTGGTAAAATTTGTTGTTTGGCCGGGAAATGGTGTAGATATTCGGTATAAAACATCTAACCTACTTTAAAGCAAGAGATGAACCGCTTCAAATCTTCCAAGTGCAATATGCTAGGTTTTTCTATGCCCATAACAACCTGTCGTAGTCGTACTTTATTATAAAAGGAGGAATTTTGCCTTCATTAACATGGATACATCGTCGTACTTAGTTGAAAACCAGGAAAATGCTTCCTTTTATAGCGAAAATGTTATTGGTCATTGCAGATATTTTGGCTCAGGCTTGTATATTATATCGGTAATATACTCCAATTTAATTAGCTAGGTCTCATTTAGGGCTTAACTGTGAAAAAAAACTTTTTCTAGCTTGATGATCTGAGTGATAAACTCGTATCTCATACATAAACGCTAGTTGAAGTTTGAAACGCAGAATTGCCCTTCCTGACGGGCAGAAGTGACTTCGCTGCTGCCAAAACAGACCGCGACATCAAAGTCAAATCAGGATAGAGTTGGTATGTCTCTTGAAACTTGGATTTAGTGATAGTTCAGGTCTATTTTAGAGGTCTAAAATAGAGGGCAAAATATCTGCTATGGGCAATAATATATCATTGTAACCACAAAGAATTTTCGATAACAGTATTATTTCAAAAATAGTTTTAAAATTGTACTTTAAATATTACGTCAGCCCACTATTACTATTACTAAGCTTTCACTGCTTCAGAACAAAACAATAGCCTTTTCACTATCATTTTGACACATCTCGGTGCTTTTCACTGACTCTGGTAATTCCTAATTATAGAAGAAACCTTTCAGGTAGTGGAACCAATCAGATTGCTAAAGCCTCATAATCCCATTCAATGGGATATAAATGCACAGGCATACTATCCAGATTATTTGTCCGTTAGATAACACTATCAAAACGTTTGTCCTGTCGTATGGTGAACCATTTCGCGTAAAAATCATTTATATCCAGATTCAGTGCTTTTTCGTAAAACAGACAATTTTCAGATAGCAAACACTTAAATATCACATTCCAACTGTTTTTTTCAATAGATTTGCATCTTGTCTCAAATTTTGGCTCAGCGTGTTATTTCTGCGATAAGTATGATCCTATGAAAAGAGTTGGCTCCCCTCGGTCATCATTGGCGACAATTGTGCGACTAATAAGTCGCTTGCAGAAAAGGTGGGCGTTCCACTGATCGGCTGTGGCTGCCACAAGTTGAACTTGGCCGTAAAGGCCTTTCTTGCTCGTCGACCGGATATGGGGAAGACTATTGAACGGGTCGACAAGGTGGTTTCTCAATTACGGAATTTGAAGGCGGCTGGAGCACTTCGCCTGCTTACACCCCATTGCGCACTCAAACGCAACTTTACTAGATGGTCCTCTACTTACAAAATGCTGGAGAGCTTTGTGATTATCGAAAGCTCAGCTAAGGAGCTCGACGACATTGACCCCATTCGACGTGCAGACTCGGATCGGAACATTTGTGGCCCAAAATTAAAATTCATCGGATAACGAGCTGCTTCAATACCAAATGGGTTTTGCCTTTGTATAAATCAAATGGTATTGAGTGCAACCGCCTCCGGTATAATAAACACCTCCTCACTTTCCAACTTGCCATCAATTAGCCAAGGGGGGGTGGCGGGCCGAAGCACTGTGAACGTCACATTCCAACCCCTGTAGTGCACTGTTGAGTTTAAACCTTATGTTCTGTAAAGCGCCCGCATGGTCGTTAGGCTGGCTGCAACTTGACGTCCTTAGCGTAGAGAGCATGCGGGTAGTATGTGAAGGTGTTTCAAGCGTCCATCTGCTAAGTTTGTCATGCCCTTGAGGGTGCTGTCGCCACTCGAGCCAGTGTACTCTGCAAGGATAGGGGAGCCACCTCATCCTCAACATGGCGAGCAACATCACCGAAGGTTTCATGGCTAGCGACAAGGTTGGAGGTCTCGTCCTCCCACTGACGATTAAGACGCTCGGAGACTCGAGTGGCGGTGCTTGGCATCTTGCTCTTCTCGGATTGAGTAGTTAGGCGAGACTAAGTGGTTCTTGTCCTTCAGGACACTCCCATGTCAGTGGCTGAGATTTCGAGAATTTCCCATATTTCAAATATAAAATGATCTCTCACTAGTTGCAAATAGATTTTTTGATCTGCAACGATCTTGTTATATATATCGGATTATTATGATGCAAGATGGATGCATTGAAAGTAATAGACTTAGATTTGAAAATATCGCAGTTTAGAAATATTATTGTTGTTTCTTATCAGAAACTGTGTTGTTTGCGCCACATAGCGTTGAATCGTAAGAAAACACTGGTATCCAAGGTACATATACCTAATTTACGAATATATTCCTTTTTTAGCCTGTGGCGGTCTGGCTCTTTATCGTTCGCGTTGATATTGAGTATCAAAGTTTGCTTCACAGATTTCAACGGCTCGCAGTGTGATACACTCTGAAAGGGGTCAACAAAAATGCATCGATAAATGGATTTCCGATAAAGGTTTGTATTGCTTGTAAGAAATTTCTCATGGGAGATTAAATATTGCTGCGTTTTTTTTTAACTTAAAAGCTGCTAGTTTTTATAGTGTTTTAATATGGTGAAGTTCCGTCACCAAATGTAAAAACAAAGCGACGAACTGTGACGCTTCTTCTTTAGCTCATGAAATGCCCTCGCTGGATGCTCGGCAGATGTTAAGTCCTCGCGAGAGCAAGCAGCTTAGGATTCGAAAAGCCCCCGAAGAAAAAATGGGTGGGTAGCAATCCTGCGAGAATTCGCGACCAAAGACCGTTAATACTCGCTCAACATTCAGCTGATTTCATTAGCTGAATGTTGAGCGAGTTACGCAGTACCGTGGAATTAATCCGTTGAGGGCTGTCCACACCGAACTGTATTCCTAGTAAAAGCTATTTTAACTATTTAAACTCTCAACAGGTGTAAAGGAGTTGAATGTAACTAATTCTTGCTAAAGATGTCTGATCAATCCATTCGCGGTTTACTCCTTATCGTCTCGTTCTTTCTGTAGCTGACAGCACTCCTACGCGCGCAACAGCTTGTGGACGTGTTGAGCGAAGCCGGATCTATTCTCTCTCCAATAAATGAGCAGAACCACAAAATTAAACTCTTTAAACTTATTCAACGACCTTGTTCACATCCCACCGTAGCTATCGATTTCAGGTTTTGCTCGCATGGCGCCAATGGCTCTTGCTGTGATGGCTGGAATCTCAAACGGCTTAGTATGGACAACCATCAAATGCGGCGGTGTTAGTTCAACTAGCTTCGTGATGGAACGACTTGTGAGCTCTTCCATTCGTGTGTCAACACCACAGTACATTCCAGAACACAAGACACTTTTTTTTCCGTGGATGCAGCTCATCAGTCCTCGCAAGGTGAAGAGCACATTGCCACGTCACATGACTCCAATCCACTCACTTTAAATGCTCGCTTCAACCCAAGCAGCAAGTTGCACATTCATTCCTTCGTCCCACCTCAAGTAACTTGGTACAATGTACCACTTTACATTCTATCAGCCCCCTCAGCTCTTTGCCCATTTTGCCAATTGCCACCTGATGGAGCTGGAGGCGTTGCAGCTCGTCGAGTTCGCCTACAACCGGCAGCGCGGAGAGCCGCGCTACATCCCGTTCCGACACCGTGGTGTACCGCCTCGCTACCCTGCGTTCGAACTGCAGCTGCCAGTGTTGCTGTTGCCCTGGGACGACGAGCGCGGAGGTGTCATGTGCTTTGCACACCCGCAGCACCAGGCTCCTTTGGCATCTGACGCATCGAATCAGGACGAGACGGCGCTGCTGGGTGTATGTCGCTGCGGTGTCGTGCGCTTCGCTAAGTATTTCCAGCGTGGCCGCCTGGGATCCGCCCCGACGTACGACGTAGCGCTCAAGATCATGGATAAGACACAGCTTAAGTTGCAGCACGACGACGTACTCAACGAGGTGCGCGTAATGGCACAACTGCAGCCGCCGGGCTTCGCTGGTGTGTACCACTCGCCACATTTGTCGCAGTGGGAGTGTCTGGCGGACGAGCACAACGAGTATATCGCTATGGACTGGGCAGCCAACGGCAGCCTCATCATGTACGCCAAGCGACGGCTCACAGACTATAAGCGCTTCGCCGTGGAGCGACTGGTGAATAGAATGACATCACTGCCTGAGCTGGAACAGGCAGTTAATATCTTTGTGGCAAGAGCCTGGATGCTCGAGGCGTTGCATATTTTCGAGGGGGTACTCAAGGGACTCGCATACATGCACGCACAGAATGTGTGCCATTTGGACGTAGATCCATGCAATGTGGTGATTGACGCTGAGTATAACCCGAGAGTTATCGACTTTGGCAGCTCCGAGATCATGACGAACAATGGACGCGCAGGAGCCGACGATCGACTGATCAAGTTCAAGCCCCTATACGTTGCAGAGGAAGTAAGAGCTCATAACCAGCACCCGTCACCGCGTCCGGGCTTTCTGGGGGCACCTGCAGATATGTGGTCTGCTGGAGTATTGGTAAGTGCCGAAAGAGGTGCTTTGTATGGAACTGGACTAACGTTTTTGTGTGTGTGTGTGTGTGTGTGTGTGTTTTACGTGTAGTTGTACCAGTTGTTGTGTTTCGGATACCCCAAGGGCCACTTGGCTCTTGTGTGTGATACGAATTGGGTGACGAACCTGCTCGCACATGCGAATCAACCGGGCTACGACACATGTCTCGGACAGGAAGGCTGCCTCATTTGCTTCCGCCGCATCGAGTTCCCAGACGTAATTTATGAAATCTTCCGCGGCTTGCTGCTCGCGGACCGTCCGACCGAGCGACTGACGGCTGTTGAGGCAGCGAATTTGCTTCAACCTCTGCTTGTCGACTACGACGTCGACTTTAGCCGCCGTGCACAGTCCATACTGGACACACTCGGATGATCGCTGCCGTATCATCCTTCAGCAGCAGCATCCGAACTACAGTGCATTACATAAATGCTAAGACCAAGCTTATCACACCGTCCACAAGAACGCGAAATCTCGGGAATCTTCCCAGTTTTTACAAACCAACTCGAGCCAGCCATCGCCTTAGTTTAGACATCGAGAAATCAGACGGCCGATTAGAAGCAGCAAAGCGTTGATAGACGATAAAAAGGTGCATGGAGATCGGGACCTGTGCACCGAAAATACTCCATGTTATAATGCAAGAGTATAAGTCCTTAGATCTACATGTACAGCAGTATGAAAATGTTCTCGAAAATGACGGGCCTGGTGTTTTGCTACAAACCAACGCAAACACCTAGTTTTTATAGTTTTTATGAATGCTCACCTAGTCTACAGAAAGATAAAGAAAAATTCAAACCAGCATCCTTGTAGAGTCTACATTTTTTTTACATTTTTACTAATAGGTACGGCAAGTAAAAAATTGTCCCCATTCCGATTCCTATTCGCCGAAAACTCCTATGGAATCGTAGGGTTGTGTGCCGTATGGTCCGACGTGACGTACTAAAGTAACATTTTGCAAGTCTCGTCGAACACCTCACTTGGCCAGTATGACCTCCTCGCACGAGAAGGCCCCGCTCCTGCCTCTGTCTCCGCAGCCTCTTTCATCCAGTCAAAGGCATCGCCATCGTCGAGAATCGTTCGAGACGGGGTTCCCACTCGTTGTTTCCGAAGAGATCGACGTTCAGGCCACTGTACCGGAGACTGAAGCTGAACCACCTCGACCCGCGGTCTCCGTATCGCCGTGTCAATGGTTGGGACACAATTGCGCCGTGCCGTTTACGCTGCTGATGTCAGCGATCGGCGCCGGCACATTGGCGGTTCCCTATACTTTCGTGCTGTTGTCGCCTGTCCAGGCGGTTCTGGTGTTGTGCTGTGTCGGGTTGGCAATGGCTTTCACAGCTGATACACTAGTAGACGTTCATGTAAAAGTGACAACAGAGAGTGTTGATGAACTGCAGGGAAGTCGAGAAACGTACCAGCATTTGGCTTGGAGAGCTGGCGGCAACCTGTTGGCTCGACTGACTGGAGCTTTGACGGCGTTTGCAGTGTTTGGAGCGTGTGTGGGCTGCGTGCGAGTGGTGAAGGACATGGCACCGGTGTTGCTTTCTGCGGTGGTTAATGGATTTGAACAGTGGGATGTAGAAGAGCAGCAACATGCAGTGGTGACTTCAGTTTGGGTCGTGGTGCTGGTTGTCGTACTGCCACTTGGATGTCTGACGAAAATATCGGCGCTGCGATTTTCGTCATACTTTGGAGTGGCATTTTCGGTTTATTTGGTTTGTGCTGTGGCATATCGAGCTACAATTGGGGGCATCGAAGATGCAGGTCTCGATAATAATGGGGTCCCAGTACCAGAGACGAAGAGTGAAGCGTCATTATTCTGGCGCGTAGCTGAGGTCGTAGGTATATACAACTTCACGTTCATGCTCCATTTAAATGTGATTCCGTTGCTCGCACAACTCGTGGCTACTGAAACGGCGAGAAGACGGAAGGCAGAAGACAAGGACATTGAAAATCTTGGCAGTACAGAAGCTCCTGTGGATGTACACTTACTTCAAATTGCTGGACGAACCATGCGACGTCACTTGGCTTTGGCTGTCGGCACGTGCATTCTGCTGTATGCGACGTTCGGTATTTGCGCAGTGCAGATTTATGGGAATAAAACGCAGGGTAACATACTGCTAAACCTCTCGAATGACCGGATCATGGCGGTGCCTCGTGTGGCGATTTTATTGACGATTTTACTGTCATTTCCGCTGCTATTTCATCCGCTTCGTTCGCTGGTGCTCGAGATGTATGTGGCCTGTACATCTCGTAGTAACAAGGAAGATGAGAACGACTCAGCTCCGTCACAATTTGTACAGGCAGTTGTGACTCTTCTACTGCTGGTTGCTCAAATTATCTGCGCCTTACGCGTTCCTGGACTACAAGTGGTGTTTTCCTTCGTTGGTGCGAGTATCTTGCTGATGCTGTGCTACTTGTTTCCACTGATATTTTACGTGCGTCTCACGGAGTGGCGTTCGGGTCGTAAGGAAATGACACGACTGGTTCTACTGGCGGTGTTAGGCGTGGTCGCGGCTGTGTTTTGTGTCGCAGCTACCCTACAGCTTGTATTTCCAGCGTGACTCAACCTAGTCGTGGTTCAGTGCACTTAAAGAAATTGAGAGAATCTAGATGTATTTAATATTTTGGATGTGATCATGCAGTTTGTCTGTTCATTTTAGACGACGATCAAACGACGCTGAATGATAACAAGCATGCTGTTTTATATGTATATTTCTTATTCATATAATGGCATGGACATACAATATATTGGATTTGTATGGTATAACTTAGATAAAGGTATACTCGAAAGGGTAATACAATACTTAACTTTTGTTGTGGTACAGTGTAATGTGTACTTTGTGCAGTGTACAGCGCTAATAGTACGTATGAATGAAATACGTATTACTGACATGTACAACTTGATTAGTCACTGATTGCTTACGCTGTAAAACGATGACAAACGGCTATCTTCTTCTTCAGATATTTTAGATGAGAATGCGCACAGGCTCTACTTTGCATTTTTCCACCAAAGGCCCCATTCAAAACAACCGAGTCTTAACATGAGTTTGCAGTGTGTTATCGTGCTGCTTATCGTTGTTGTGGGAGCCAATTCGTGCTATGGGATCAAGGACAAAGCCGACCTCGTTTATTCCAATTCAAGATTAACTCGTGATAAAGTGGTCGCTCTGGCTACACCAAGAAGGCTTTTAAGGTCCACTGCAGCAAAGACGGTTGAAGCAAGCACTAACGACCAAAGCTATGAAGAGAGGGCTCCAGTCCAGATGGTCACGGGGAACATGGCTAAATTGGCGCTTTCAATGAAAGTGAATCCTGAAGTCTTTTACAAGCGTTTACGCTTTTCCAAGGCTGTCGGAAAGCTTGATGATAACCCAGAGTTCCTGGCGTGGCTCCAGTATGTACTTAAGTACAGAGCTAAAACGGATGATGCAACATTTCCGCTCGTCAGATTGCTCGATTTGCTACGAAACACAAGACCTGATAGAGATCTGGTGGAACTTTTTCAGTCTCTTCGACGAATTGAGGGTATGATGAACACTGCTGACAAGATGCAGATAGATCTATTCGAACGAAGCCCCGACGTTCACAGGATGATGAACGAAATGTGGTTGAAATCCCGCGAAAGCCCCAGGGATATTTTCAGTATATTAGAGCTGAATAAAGTTTGGAAAAACCAGAATCTTATTCAGTGGCTCAGATACACTGAGATGTACAGGAACGAGCTGGGTGTCGATTCGTTTTCCGTTTTTCAAACGAACCAACTCCTGTTGGAGCATACGTCGCTAGCGCGGTTGGTAGTACGTCTTGAATCGATTAAGAAAACCCCGGACCTGGAGATGCTCGCTGAAAGCATGCAGAGTCAGCTGCTTCAGCGCATGAAAATCACACCTCGAGAACTCCTCACACAACATTTGACGGTTGCATCATTACCTCCGAAGAATGACCCGCGTTACAAAGTTTTGGAAAGATATGCGCTGTTATATGCTGCACGACGTGGCGGTGGGCAGGCCACGATGGAGCAAGTAAAAGCGTTATTCGCCAGGGGTGAAATTTTTGCCGCCCTCAACGCTGCTGAGATGGTTTAACTGTGAAATAAAAAAAAAATCGTTCGCCTCTCGGCAATTATTAGACGATTTTTCTGTCGCTTCCGGTATTGTCTGAGTATTTGGCTGATGCTTTGGAATGCCCTTTCGTTATTTTGCTACGCGTGTCTCGTTCAAGTTGAAAGGGGAGCTGACGCAACTGGTTTTGCGGTGATAGTTTGTGTCGCAACTACATCCCAATATATGTAACTCAAATATGCGTTTGTAACTGTGCTGCTTATCTTGATTGGTATAGTCAACACTTGCTCTGGGATCATGGACACAACCGATATCGCTTCTTCTAGTCTGGGCCTCGTGCGCTCACCAGTAACGAACGACTGACTGCATCGAATGGACTCTTGGTGTCTATGGTAGCGAACTAATGAAGTGAATATTGAAGACCAGGGCAACGAAGAGAGAGAGAGAGCTCAAGTCCAGATGATCACGGAGATATTTGAAAAGATGGCGCTAAAAATTGAAAGTGAGTTCTAAGGTCTTCCCAAGCGTTTGCGCTTTGCCGAGGCTATCAGCAAGCTTGAAGACAACCCAGGGTTTCTGACGTTGCGCTTGTATGTACAAAAGTGGAGTGTTAAAACAATGAAGACGCGTTTTCGCACTACAGGTTACTCGATTTGCTACGCTAGACAAGACCTGATGGAAAGCTGGTGGACCTGTTTCAATTACTTCGACCAGTCGAGGGAATGACGAAGCTTCCTAACAAGATGCAACTGGCAACGTTCGAGAGCTACCCCTCCATTCACAAATTTCAGTGTGGCTGAAATCTCGAGAAAGCCCCAAGGTTGCTTTGATGAAGTCTGGCGAAATCAGAATCGTATTCAGTGGCTCAGATACACTGAGGTGTGCAGGAACGAATTGGGCGTCAATTCGTTTTCCATTTCTCAAACGAGTCAACTCCTGTTGGAGCATTCGTCATTTACGGGCTTGACAGGGCGTCTCGAATCAATAAGGCAACTCCCAGATCTAGAGAAGCTCGCTGAAAGCCTCCAAACGCAGCTTTTTCAGCAAATGCCATTCAAAATACCACCGTATAAGGTCCGTTATTATTTGATGGGTGGATCACTGGGCCCGAAAAATGAACCAAGTTACAGCGTTTGGGAAAGATATACGATGTGATTGCAACACATCGTCGTGAGAATGCTACTCAGCAGCGAGTAAAAAATCGCTAATCAGCAGGGGGCGAACTCTCTGACGCACTTGATGCTGTTGAGAAGGCCTTGGTTACAATACTTAGGATAGCGTTGGGACAATAATATTAAAAAAAAATTGATTAAGATCTTTCATAGCGCCACAATTACGTAGTATTGTTCCAAAATGTGTATTGTATTGGCCAATTTAGTAGACTTGGTTAAATTATGGGGAATGTAAACCGTACTGTTCTTAAAGAAATGTACTTAAGTACTGGATAGACCAACTTAATAGCAACTGCAATTAAAATACTGAAATACAATACTGAGATTGTATTTTGGGCTCCAATACTGCAACATATAGATTTCAATAGTTGATTGCACAACGCACCAAAGGCTGTACCCTTTTAACCCTACGGTCAAAACTCTCGCTAATATATTCTTCCAAAAAAGGGTTGATGAGCTTCATTTTCAGTCTTGCTTTTTACTAACAACAAGGTAATCAACTAATGTGTACTTTTATTTAGATCGTCCGGAGCTTCTTTTCTAAAGGTCCTACCGTTCATAACGCTACAGAGAAAAATATGCCTACACCAGGAATCGTTTAGCAACCCTTGCCACCAGCAATCAGTAGGCACGAGGTGCTATCGAAGATTGCCAGGGTGTTGGCCATTAAAGACCAAATCAGTGCGAAAGACAGATAGCCCACAGTGAGACCACCAAAGAGCTTGCTGGATCCACCATTGCGAGCCAGCTCCTGGGTTTCCTTCTTCTGACGCGGAAGCAGAACCAAAAATGCCCACGAGAAGATCGTCATGACGTACGAGATGATGACCGTGTACGTGATATCCACACGAACCGAGTGGTCGTCAGCCTGCACACGAGCATTCGTGATGTCGAACGGGCCGTCGATAAGAAGCGTCAGCGTCGTAGCGAACGGCGTGGCCAGGTTGCCGACTGTTGTCATAAGGCCGTACACGGCACCTTCATTGCCAACACCGGCAATCTCGACCGTCACGAATAATGCAATGATCCAAGCAACACCGCTGGGGATCTGCACCGCAATAGGAGGGCCAAGCCAGAACCACTGGTTACGGAAGATATCCCACACCGTGATGAGAGCAACGGAGCAGTCGACGACAATAACGACGATACCAGTAGCAACGATCATGAACCGCCAGTTCCAGTGGAGACCGTACTTGGATGTGACCATAATACCGGTCATGAAGCACAGATGACCGAGCACGTCGTTCAGCGTGTTGTTGATGGGGGTAACGCCAACCATGTACGACTGCACCGGAGAGCTAGCCGTGTACGAAATGCTGGAAAAGATACCGGCGAAGAAGTGGTGAGCAATGACCTGGTACACTACACGCTTGCAGAGCAGGTCCCAGAACTCCTTAATGTACTTGCGGAAGTCAAGACGCTCAGCCTTCTCCTCCTTGATGAAGTACCACGTGAGAGGTACCGCAGGAGCTGTGAGTACTACCATGATGATCATAAGCTCCGGGAAGCTCAAAGAAAAGTCGAAGTCACCACCGTAGTCCTCACCGTTAAAGCAGAAGCCAACGAGCAGTTCACCGAGAATCACCAGAGTCGTACGCACAGTGTAGATAGCGGACTGAGTCTTACCACGCTTGGCCATGGGCTCCTGCTGGGCGAGCTCACACACGATACTGTCGGAACACACGTCGGACAGCACGTAGCCGAACGCAGCAAAGAACATGATGACGACGTACTTGGCACCTTCGCCAGGAGCGCTGTGGTTGAGACGAGCCTCAATCTCCGGAGTGTAGTCAGCCACGTCAACTTTACGGTCAGCGGCGACGGTGTAGTACGGCTGGCCAATCGGCATAATAGCCATGAGCAACAGCATTGCGATGCAGATGGTCCAACCGATCACCATGTACGGACGACGACGGTAGCCGAATAGCGGGAAGCAGTCCGACATGATACCATAGAACACCTTGAAACTCCACGGCAGAATGACGAGTTCCTTGGCGGCAGCAACTTGAGCACCACTACAGTTGAGGTACTGCTGCATGAAAGGATATACCGTTTCTGGGAGCATGCCGTAGACGACACCAACAGCAGCGTACTGGAAGATCAGACCGATGTGGTCGCGACTCATTAGATTGGGCATACCGCCCGGACGCAGAGCACCGTCCTCGAGCAGTTCTGGGGTACCATCAGGCGTCTTGATACCAGCGTAGCTACCATCGGCGTCCTTGGTGACACTCTCCTTGGTGATACTCACGACTGACAAACGCTGCAGGTCGTGCACATTCTGGCCAGTGGGAGTCGGGGCCATTGTGAAATTGACCGAACTTGGGCCTGGAAGCTTGGCAGTGTGCAGTACAAGGCAGAAAGCGGAATGAACTCCACTGCTCAAGCCGATTAAGAAATTAATGCAAAAGACTCGGTGATCTTGTCAAGGAAGCAGTCGCTGGGCTACCGACCAACAATCAAGAAAAAGAAGCCGCGATCGCCAATCTCGTGCACTGAGCGCAGCCAGCGCAGCTCCGGCTCGACCGGCTCATTTCGCCTGCGAGAGTCGATATTTATCATCATGACGATGTGCAAATTCACCACTCGACCCACCTCCAACGCCGTAATGTCCGCCGTTGCAGGTGGTCAAGCAACTCCGGAATCTTATGTTTATGTCCCTGGCTCATGCGCGGTGAACCAGTGTGGAGACAGGTGCTGGTGCTCATGTGTCCACCTTATCACGCATTGTATCGCCCAATCAGTCACCGAAAGCTGCCGACGTCGAAGCTCGCGCGCGAATGGAGGACGTTGATAGCACCACGATGCTCACTAGCGAGACTATTCGGAGACTTTGCCGAGCATTCGAGCACTGCGCCCGGCTACCATCATGCTTGAGCCGGCGCGCGCCGGGAGTAACTCGCCGATTTGGGCAGTGATGACCACGTAATACATGTAGGATGCTGCAGGCTCCATCCAGAGTCTCCAGGTGATCAATTCCTTTTTTATCTTCGTTCATTTATTTCGGCTTTTGAACTGTAAGTCATCGTACAGATTACTAAAGTATACTGAAGTAAACTACAACAGTGTTGAATATGGCACGGAGCACCTGCCATAAACCCTCGGCGAGGTCTCGACGCGGTGGGAGAAACGGAGAGACGGACGCGCCCAGAACGCAGAGTTGCCACAAATTGAGTGTTTCGTTTGTTCTGCCAGTAAGGAAAATTGCTGGCAATAGAACGAAGTGTGCGTAAATGTTAGAGGCGACACTAATTGACAGTTTCTGATCGATTCACATTCCGATTTCGATTCCGCCAGGTGAGGGTACGTTCAAAACATAATGCTGGTGGTGTGAAATTCGCTGAATTTTCAAATCGCTCATTTTTAGTACATTTGCATTTTTTTAAAAAAAAGAATGCTTTTATTTTTTAAATCATACTAAGTACATCAAATACATGGGCAGATGCTGCGGCGGCGAAGCAGGCGCCGGAGATGCGTTGACAAAGGACGTTGCTTTAACACGTGAACAGGGGATACATTCTTTGTCTATATCTCGGAGTTTATTTGTAACACGATCCTCACCGGATTCGGCAGGTAGCAAAATCAGACTCATAGATGTAGTACTACAAAAAAGTCAAATTTTGGATATATTTACAATCACTTGAAGCTTACCATTGGCTAATATAATTAGTCAATGGTAAGCGTGAATTTAATGCGAAGGGAGCGAATAAACTTGTGGTTCCCAAAGCCCTTCCCTCCAGAAACTAATGCCGTGCTGCGCCCGGGAAGTTCTGGATATTTGGATACTTAATATCTAATAATATAATATTTGTCAATACTAATGAGAAACATACTTAAGTACCGTAACAACGCCAAAAAAAAGGAAACTCGTTAAAGTATTTTTTTAAAGAACCTAACTACTTTTTTAAAAAAAATTATATGCACTTTCAAAAAAGTGTTTCTTATAATTTTTGAAATGCTAAAATACTTTTTTTCAAAACGTCTTCATTTCAAAAGCTGTTTTTTTAATGGAAAACACCAAACGTTCATTTTTAAAAAAAAAATTGTTTCCGGCACCCTAAAAATCTGATCATTCTTGGTTCATTTTAGCTTAATGCTGCGGCGGAGCAGGCCAGAGATATGGGTATGTTGGCATTGCCAACTTGGCAATGATGGTGGAAGGATCCGTCATAGCAGTGCACGCGTTTAACAGGCATAATTTGGCAACGTGATAAGGTGACGTTCTATTGTTATGTGCAACTTTACTCCTCTTACCCCTGCGGCGCTGCAGAATCAGTGGCTCTGAGCCACATATTCTTGGTCAAACGAAGAAACTTCGTGTTGCTCATTTCTAGTGGAGCAAATGAAGCTGCTGAAGCCAGCGCCTCGAGCAATATTCGTCGACCACGAGTTGTGCAGTCAGTAACAATTTATTGTTTCTAGTCGAATGGCAACGCTTTTGCGGTCTGCGGGTCCAGTTCGCTGTCCAAACGTTGAAGCTGGTTATTTCATATTGTCGTGTTTCAATTGGTCGAAAATCGAGGCATCTGGTTCTTAACTTCCGCCCGCTTGCACCTTCTCGTCCATACTGAACGCAAGTCATTTCTTACACATTCCTCCATCCTCTCCAATATGCGTAGCCGCTGGGTCGACTCGCTCAAGCGCGGCATCTCAGCCTCCCCACGGCCGGACGAGCGCTCACCACAGCCCTCGGGGACATACGCACCCACACCGAGCTCCACGCTGTCTTCCGTGTCCGCACCGAGTCTCAGCGGCGCCGAAAACCCCTCGTACGTCCACGATACCGATCGCTGCGACTCTATCGGCGCTTGCAGCGTCGCACGCGTCCTGGATAACTGCGTATTACAAGGTGGTGTGCACCACACGCATATGCATGTACTGACGTATCTGGGACGACCGCTACGGTCTGAGTGCTGCTGTTATCCCGTGGCTGTACAATGGTTCCGGGCAGTAGGGGAGCAGGACGACTTCCAGGTCATCCCTGGGGCCTGCGACGAGTGGTACACACCCACAGCCGACGATATTGGAGCCAGGATATTGGCAAAAGTTATGATCGAGGACGAGGACGTTCTCAAGACCAAAATGCTCGAATACGGACCCATCAAAGAAGATCCAGAAGTCCGCAGCAAAGTCGAGATGTATCTGGAGAGGAAATCCGTGCTCTTCATGGGACTACGCAGCATCTCAGTGCAAGACAGCAGCGAATACTTAAACGAAGAAGAACTGAGAGTACGACGCAGCATTGAAAGAAGAAGGTGGAGAAGAAAACTAATTATTTTTTCATGCAGGAGAGCTGGACGCTGTTGATCGACGATCGGAGAGTCCGATTGACGTGTGAATCGTCACTAATCCCACCATTCGAGAGCCTCTACACTCCAGATATCAAGGTACATCGGAACTTTTCCTTCTCTGCGGTTATTGGAGTCTCATTCCCTCTTGTACCTTCAGTTGGAGATGGTTCGAGGCTCACCGAACGAGTTTTACCTTCACCTGGCTCAAGGATGTTACGTGCGACTACGTGCCGAATCCAACACAGTGCGGGATATCATCGTCCTGACGCTGCGAGCCTTCTGCCAGATGGCTGTGGCGGACGAGAGTACACACGAGGCCGTCGCTCGCGGCTTGTCTCCAATGCTGACTCTACGCAAGATCGCCCAGGACGAAGAGAGCAAGAAGCAACCCCCAGTAGGTGTCAGTGCAAACTTCGGATTGCTGGGATTGAGTTGCATGCTGAGGTTGTACACGCCGTCTCTTGATTTCGACCAGCAGACCCAGGAAGCTCCACCTCCACCGCCAGTACCGGTATACGACCTACCGTGGAACCGATCAGCCAGTAACTCGTTCAGTATGGACCCGGAGTCCACAGCGACAAGTACCGTAGTCGAAGAGTTAGAAGACTCTCTAGGTTCAGGCAGCAGACGACCAAGCATAGCCAGCAGTTTAGGTGGCATGATAGCTGAAGCATGCGAAGGGCTGGATGATTCCTTGCTGATGGACGCTGAGGCGCTGATCGGTAACGCGCAGAAGATGGGGATCCAGTACCAGATTTTACCTCGCGCTCCGAAGCGGATTTCCATTTTGGATATTCCGGATTTACAGATTATTGAGACGATGGATATTTTAAATGACCAGACTATTCCGGAACAGAAGACGCGACAGCAGCGAGACCAGCGTCGTCGAGGAAGTAGCAGCAACACAGAGTCTGAAGAAGGCAACAATGTCGATGGAAGCGTTGTTGCTGGGATGTCAGAGATGATCGATGCGAGCTGTATAGACAAAGCGATTGAGGACTTTATGGCGGACGGCAGTCGCAAGGACAGTGTGGATGTTGCAGCGTTACGGGAACGGTATGTTGCGATCTTCTGTTCGCTCCAACGCGAGCTGCACACTTATAAGCAGCGCGTGGTGACTTTATCCAAGCAACTGGAAGAGAAACAGGAGCTTAATTCGAGCTTCCGTAAAGACATCGAGTCGTTGCGCAGCGCTCTCACGTCCATGCAACTCGCCGATAAAGTGTACGACCTCGTATCCACCGACCTGCAACAGCTTGTGAAACGAAATGCCGCCGAACCAGCTCCCGTCCCTAATGTCTTGTACTCTCAATAGAAGTCTCAAGAATGTAAAACCTGATAAGCACAGGACAAGACCCATTAATTGCCACAATAGAGAAGCATTTAACCATTCCTCGCGCATATTTTCGTCATTATTGCGCTCTTCCTCCTCTTCTTGTTGCCCATCTACTGACGCTTCTCAAGCGCCTCGATCCGCTTGGTGAGCGCCGCGTTCTGCGCGATCATCTCGTCCTTGAGGCTGCCCACAGAGCTCTGAATCTGCTGCGTCGACTGCTCCACGTCCTCCGAGAGCACGTACAGACCGTAGCCGGCGCCCACAGCGACGCCTACACCGAACGACACGATGCGCTGCATGAAGGAGCTGCCACCTTTCTTCACCACGACGGGCGCGGGCGTGGGAGCCACCTTGACGACTTCCTCCTTGGCGTCCGAGGCAAAGCGACGCACGAGACCCCGCGACTTAGCGACCTTGGCAACCTGAGAGCGCAGCATCTTGTCTTGGTACTTCACGTCGGGATACAAATTGTGGGGCGTGTGGCTCGACCACATTTTTTAGTCCAATTTTGGTCCTATCCATTTTGGCTACGGAATAGTCCTGAGTGAAAATAGTCCAGTGCAAACCAGTTCTCATTTTCATATTCACCGTCAATGACTGCAACACCGGACTGTGACGTTTGCACCTATATGGACAGCTTCCGTCCGTCCTGCGGGTTCATGGCATTTCGAACTGGGCTGTCACGACTCGGTGTCGCGCACGTGCGTGCACCGCAATGGTTCTACCAGTGTCGTCCGGTCTACAGCTGAAAGATCAATTTGTCAATCTACTGTGGGAAATCTGCTTGGAATCGCGTAAGACGAAGGTACCGATTGTGGCGACTGCAGGGAAATCTCAACGAAGGTCGTCAATTCAGCCACGACGCAACTGGAGCGAGCCAACCGCAAGAAGCAAAAGGCTGACAATGCACTGATCGGTGTGAATATTACAGTGGAAGATATCGAAGTCGTCCAGTCACTCCATGCTGAAGAGGAGACAGCATGCAAAGCTTCAGTTGCTGAGCTTTTACAGGAGATCAAACGTCTGCGAGCAGAGAACCAAAAGTTCGCTGAAAGCCAACAGCAACGTCTCGAGAACCAGCAGCGGCTCATGCACAAACAGACTGAACTAGTCGAGATTGTGCAGCGACTACAGTCTCGACAAGATATAAATGGTCGTCTTCTGTGCACCGTGTATGACCGACAGCGATTCCCCGGCGAGCACGCACTTTTCAACCAGCAGACAGAAGGAACTTCATGCTGAATGACATATCTGCAACAACAACAACAAAGTAAGTCTGCGTAGTAACCTACAATAAAAAAAAAGTAACGTTATCATACATTTTTTTTGAGTCACAAAACCAATTGTAGTTAAGTTGAAGTTATCCGTTTCTCATAGCATTGCTACTGTTCTTGGCCATTTTGGGAGGGGGTCATTGAGTTATTTGCCAGTTCTCCCTTGCCACCACGAAGATGCACCCGATTGGAGGCAACAATGGAGCGGACCTTACGCAGCTACAGCGGGAGTACCGTAACATGGAGCTCAACCGCAAGGTGTACGCGGACGAGAGTCACCAAGTGATGCGCAGACAACAAACAGTGATCGAGAAGCTCCGCAAGGACAACGAAGAGATGAAGGCCGAGTTGACACTGGCTGAGCGTCACATCAATGAAGGCGCAGTAGCTCAGCAACAAGAGCATCTTGCTCGTCTGCAGGACCAGATTGACAACTACAACCGCAAGAATGTGGCGGAGACCAAAAGATTGGAAACTCTCACGCAGCAGATCCAAGTTATGAGACACAAAGTGTTGCATCAAAAGAAGCACATGGGTGGAGTCAATGCTGCAAAGGAAAACCAGCAAATGGTGAGCAAACAGATCCGCATTCTCGAGAACCGACTGGACAAGTCACTGGTCAAATTCAACGAAGCTCTTGCACAAAACAAAGTCTTGCGTGAAGAAATTGATAATTTGAGGCGCGAACGAGTCGTGTTCGACACAATTTATCGCAAACTTGAGCGCGAACATGGCGACAAGAAGCGGCAAATGGCACAAACGATCGAGCTCAGTAACCAAGCTTACGAACAGCGCGACGCAGCGCAACTCGAGTTGCGAACTCTTCAAGAGGAAAATCGTGCTGAACTCGAAGCGCATCGACGAGCTCTGGCAGAACTGATGGAACGGCTTGAGGAGAGTAAAATACTAGCAGGTGAAAACACTGCGAATTATCGACGCGGCGCATCATCGGCTGGAGGTGCCCCTGGCGCATCCACCGAGTACGCTGGTAACATGTCGGCAGAAGAAGAGAATGAGATGAAGCGTAAGGTGCAAAAAGGAACGTGGGGTGTGGCAAAGGAGAAAGTGCACGTTCAGGTTTCCATTGAGCGTGTGCAAAACTTCGAAGAGGCTTTCATGAAAATCAAAGCTGCAACAAGAATCGATGACTTGGAACAGCTCGTGACATCTTTTATCAAAAAGGAAGACCAAAATTTTTCACTTTTCAATTATGTCAACGAGCAGAGCAACGAGATTGAAAAACTCGAGGAATGGATCACTGCGCTACGTGATGAAGAACGTCGTTACACTGGCAATGGCGACGGTGCAAATGGAGCCGCAGGAGATGACGATGGTGTTGGTCAGCACAAACAGTTGCTACGCGACTTGGAGGCACGACTTGCACTCACGGAACAAGCAGCTGAAAAGTGCGAGGCACGATGTGCGGACGCTCAGAAAACAGTGAACACTGTCAAGCGCGCTATCCAAAGCTTGTTCACCAAAATCGGGTGCAACGCACAAGCCATGGTAGAGATGTTGGGCGATTCTGTGGTCACGGAAGCGAACATGATGGCTTACTTGGGCGTCATCGAACAGAAGACCAATGAGATTTTGCACCAGTACGCTGCGGTTGTCACCAAGCAGCAGGCAGACGCGCAGAAGAACAAAACTACTAGTGATGCCTACGATCGTGAATCACAATTCACTGCTGCTGCAGTGGGGGCAGCAGGCGGCACAAACGGAGCTGTGGCCACACTGCACTCGATCCTTGGGGTTGGTCCGATCGCACCTATGGGTCAGGAACCACTACAGATCAATCCACCCAACCTTGACGATTACTCGTCCGAGGATGAAGAAAGTGGAGATAATGAAGACGCAATGCATCCTCTCACACGGGACGAACTCAAAGTACGCACACTCAAGGGCATGCGTCGTCTTAACCATGCAAATGTTCCGCAACCAGGAATTGGCAACAATATCAACGCTAAGCGTGGCGCCACCAACACAACGTTCGCAACGTCCCCCAAGTCCCGGAAGCAGTAGCCCAGTTTGAATACGTACCGACATTCTTTACTTTGCTCACTTCATGTATTGGGATCGACTTTCTTACGTTAAAGCTTGTTGTATCTTGTAATTGACTTGTGTATGTACTCTTCTTGACTATTGTAAGCGCAGGTGTTGCTTGCTCTATTCATCGGAGTCGCAATAGAGATAGAGTCTCGAAAATGGCACGCGGAGGTCAAGATGCACCGCGCAGAACGGGCAAATGGCTCTGCCGTTCGGCATGAGCAGCGCTGAATAGTGGTGCGCGAGTTTGGTACTGATCGCATGGCCACAAGGATTGAATACGCACTCGGGAATAACATGCTGCTCTTCCGCCGACTGCAGTTGAGAGTTCTCTTTGAGCAGTAATTGCACCAGTGACCCTGGCGTTCGACACAGTGGGCAAGTGTGAGAACTGGCAATCCGCTTTTCATAGCCGAATACATGTCCACACGCAGTAAACACATGCGGAATCTGGTTTAACGGGACCTCTTCGCTCGGAGCAGCGCGCGTGAAACGCAGCGAGTGAAGCTGCACTGGACACTGGACGTTAAGACGTTCCAGCTGTGTACTGATAGAAGACAACGTCGCACGTCCGTAGACTACAGGAGCCTCAAGTAGTTCACTGCTTTCTGCCTTCGTCTCGAGTTCGGAGCGGTAGCTGGTCTGGAATTGCAGCTGGACGCCGCCAAGGTCAATCACCGCGCCGTCCGTCAGTATCGGGGGTAGATTTTCCGCGCCATTAGCTGGACGATTGAACGCGCCACTACGTGATCGTAACACGCTATCATGATGACGTCTACGATCCGAACTTGAGCTTGATGGGACAGTTGCAGTGGCATCTGCAGTTCTTGACTCGATCGCGTACAATCTGCCATTCACAGAGACCTCAAACCATTGTTTGTGCTCCGGAAGCCACACTCGCACGCCGTTTTTGGTCAGTCCATCAAGTGGCAGCTCATTTGCATCGTGTATATCCACTTCAAAGTGTTCTAGCGGTCCGTCCTCGCTCGTTTCGTCAATATAGTGCTTCACACTGGTGTTCTTGACATTTCGACTGAAAATGCCTCTCTCCTCATCTCTGGCCTGTTCCATCAATGTCTTCATGACACACGTGTGATCTGTACCCACTCGTTTGGACCACGCTCCACATCGCGCGCAATGTTTAAGAGCATGTCCTGCTGTGCTCATGCGTCGAGCAGCGTCGAAGCCTCCAGCAAAGATGCGGCACTCATATGGAGGCTCTCGAGAGCACAAAATCCTCGCCGCATAGCGAGAAATAGTCCCGGATGCACCAACTCTTGGTCCGGGGATCACAAAATCATTTTGACGACATGGCATGCGGCCGATCTGGAACATATCAAAATTTGGGTCGGAATGAAACTCGGTGACACTGGCAAAAGGGTCTTTGTCGTTCATTGGGACGCACATTTGGTACGGCGCGACGGCTGGAGACCCCATTTCGCTCTCTGATTGGTTGTCGCTCGGACGACTGCGCGCCGTCTCGATGCGCTGCATCATGCGCGTGGTGACGCCCTTGAGGTCTTTGCTTTTGTGCTTGTTGTCCTGAAACTCCTCAATTGGAATAATGTGGTGGAAACGATGTAGTCGCACGCCGTTGGCTCGAGAGCGCTTCTCCAGGACGTAGTGCGCGTTCTGGTCACCCAGAGGCTTCCACAGCTGGCCGAGCGAGCGTTTGCGACTCATGGACGCCTCGTCGCTGGCGTCTGCGAGCCCGAAGGACGGCGGGGCCAGCTCCACGCTGCCACTGCGCGAGCGCCGCACCATGTCCACGCGGTAGCTGCTGTAGCCGAGCACCACGAGACGTCCGTACTCCATCGCCGGCCAGTTGGGAAATGAGAATGCAACGAGCCGGACTAATAAAGAGAAGGAACGCAAAGTGACTTTCGGCTTTTTGGAATGATAATTGAGACTGGACGGAAAAAAAGAACGTGGTTTTGTATGTGCTGTTTGACAAAAAAAGATTTGAGTCAACTACAAGTCAACGAAATGATCAAATTTTGATCACGGATATGTGATCACAAAAATCCAAACCGGGATTTTCTTATTTGGTTTTACTTGTTGTTGCCGAGATTATTGCTGGAACGTGTCGTCCCCCTCCAGCGCGTCCATGTCGGACACGGGTCGCGGGGAATGACCGGCGGGGAAGATGCTGAGATCATCGTCTTCCTCGAACGCCTCAAAATCTACAGGAGCGTCTTGAATTTTTTCAACCACCTGTGAAAACTGCATCAACGAATCCTGTATTTGGAAAAAAAAAAAAAAAGCACTGTTAGAGACATTATCGATAGTGGTGAGAGGCTGAGATCCTACCAGGATGGCGGAGCTCTTTTGCTCTATCGACTTGTCGATATGTACGGGAGTTCGTTGGCCCACATTCACGGACCGTCTGGAAGTGACTGAAGCCTTGACACCTTTGGGGACGGAAGAAGTTCTGCGTTGTATTGTATCAAGGGAACTGGTCGTTGCGTCCAATGAGCGCTGGAGGTTTAGAATCGTAAGTCGCATACCCTCAAACTCTTGTGCGATCACCAATTGATCCTGCGAAAGCGTAAAAGGTTCCGGTTTGCGAGCTGAAGGGTGTTTGGTCGCTTGCTTGTATTGCGAGACGATGGAGATGTTAGCTTTCGTACGCCAGGAATGAGACGAACCGCCCTGAGAAATACGACAGGCAAGGTGAGCAACGCTGCATTGGATCCTGGAACCAAAAGCCCATACCTTCTTGACTATCATTTTTTCCATGTGCTTCTCATACAACGAGTAGAACTGCTTGCCTACTAGCGATAGCGGCATCGCTGAGTAAATAGTAGCAACGATAATCACAAATATGTCGAAGAACTTCCCAATGGAGGTTCTTGGCACATGATCACCATATCCAACCGACGTCAGTCTGAAAAATATAGCACAATATGAGAAAACAAACAAAGCAGTAGCAAGTAGATTAGTAGCCTTACGTTGTGTATGAGAGCCACGTAGAGTGAATCATGTCGATAATTGTCGATTTCGACTTATCTTGGATCAAAACGCGCTTTCCAATCGGTAGCCCAGCTTCCAACTCAGGTGTCAGTACGTTCTTGTTCCACCACATGCATACTTCTCCAACGAAGCATTCTTTGCCACGTTCAATTTCGTAGAACATTGCGCCAGCAATAATACATCCCGTAAATAGGAAAAAGAGCTGTGGTAGAGAGAGAGTAAGAACACAGTTCACAACTTTGAGACCGTTACACTATCGACTTACCGGGATCACGAGAGGTTTCCAAACTTTTATCGCTGTGGATGCCAGCACTTTAGTCCCACGAAAATGCTACAACGTTGAAAATAAACATGGGTAAGGGAGGAGGGGAAGAAATGTCTGTAAAAAAAATAACAACTTACCCGCGTAAGCTTGAGAATTCGCAAAATTTTAAGCACACGGATAACCGAAATGAATGATGATGAAGTGGCAACAATTGCGTAGCCTGGTCGGATCCGTGCGAATAGAAGTTCTATCACCTCGACGAAGAACGGCACGATGGCAACTACATCGAATATGACATAGACATTTCTCCAGAACTGCTTTCGGTTCTGTGATATATAAAATCGAAGCGCCAACTCCAGCGTAAACCAAATGCCGAACCACCACTCAAAGTAGATCCAATAAGGTCCCATGTCAAAAATCATGTTATACGACGCTCGACATTGCTGGCGGTAACACACCAACTCGGCACCAGTTTCCAAAAATGCATCCACACATTCCAGTGCTAAGGCGTTCAAAGATCCAAAATTCAATCCGTTCCCATAGCACTGCGGTGATTCAGTTGCGCTAGAGCAGGAGAAATGAAGTCGACCAGTGAAATCACTCGTACCATTGTCATAGCGTACAAAACACGCAGGATCCAGGTCATCGAACCCTGTTGCTCTGCAATAACTCTCAACAACAGATCTGCAGCCATTCGTTTCCACACCACTTGCTGCCAGCTCCTGCAACGACTCTGAAAAGAAAAACATGATGCTGACTAGTGCAAACCCGACCATTGCTTGGTTCACTATAGCAGCAAGCCGAGATGAATCTGGTACTTCTACCAGCAACCACACCCGGCCTCTGAGCGTCTGAGACGCTGTAATTGGGTCGACAACACCTGAAAGGTGGCCTGATCTTATCTTCGCCTTGGTTATAGCCTTCTTTGCCTTTGCATACATACTACCCAGCACACCATGTGAGTTAGTATCCAGATCCAAGTGAAGTGATCTTTTCCGGTGAGGAATAAATACTTGTAGCAGTGTGACGGCTTCTGCATGGACCTCCAGTAAGCGGTCAATGCCTTCCTTAATTTTATCCAGACGATCAGCCTCATTTGCAAGCATTTCCATTGTCATTGTCATGGATTCGGTAGCTGAACGCGTCATGTTGTGGATATGGCTGTGTAGAATTGACCACGAGTTCAATAAATGGTACTGAATATCACAAAGTCGCTTGGCGTGGTTATGAAGTTTTTGACAATCAAAAGGAGAAAGCGACGCATCTAGAAAGCGGGCTTTCTTCTTTTTCTTGTCCAACTGAAAACTCTCGTATGTCAGCTGATAATTATTGCCGATAATCGCCACAGGCATCGAGAAATAGATCTGTCCAAGAATCATTGCGATCATCGTCAGCATGAGTGAGCCTGGATTCTTCAAAGATGGTACTTGGTTGCCATAGCCCACTGTTGCGACCCTGGTGAACAAAAAAACGATTAGTTTATACAACAAAATGTCGAACATTTCAACACAGTACTTACGTGACCATAACAAAATACGCCGAGTTGAAGATATCAGTAAATGTGCAAGTTTCCACGTTGTAGCAGGGTTCAGCGTAGAAAATTGCTGTAGCAAGTATCATAACCAACGTGAATAGGAAGAACATGGTGATGCTCAGAGGTCGGAGGCTGGCCCTTACGGCCTGGTAAATGATTTTTGTCGACTCATTGTGCCGCAAAATAAATGCCAAGCGCACTGTGCGAACTAGTCTAAGTTGGCTCACGCGGCGTTCGATATCAGCTTCCACATTCAAAGGTTCCAAAACTTGCATAATATACCACGGAGAAATCCCAAGCAAATCTAACCACATGTATGGATCACGAGCAATTGCTCGAATGCTTCTTGTCTGAATAATACGTCCGAGAAATTCCAATGTGAAAAACCCCGCTAATAAGCCGTCATAAATTTCGTGTTGCGCCTCAGTCGGTAGATAAGGATATCCTGGATCGGTACTCCCCCGGTTCGGCCCATCGCACGTTTCGATGGCCAGGTCCGCAATTCCCAACAAAATGAGAATAAATACGGCGCGGTCGAACCGACGACCCCATAATGACACCGGTGGCAAGTAAAACAAATCGCTGACCTCTTTCTTCGTGCGAAAGTAGATCATGCGATGGACTGACGGGTCGTTTTGCTGCTGCGGTTTTGCTGCCACGGCGTAGTTATTCCTTGATGCAATGTGTACTTTGTGTAGAGACAACTTGGTATGCACCAATTTTGCCATGTCTAGCTCTGCCAAATTTGAAAGACTCTCCGATGCGTCACTCGGTTCACCATTCGAAAGCATCGGATGTACTCTTGAAACTCGGAGTTTATCACCAGCAGAGCCATTTTTCTTCAAAGACGATCGCTGCACCAATGGCGGCGACTGAAAAGACTCAACCTGCGATTCTGTATCTGTTCGGCCTGGAGTAAATACCCTGGTATTTTCCTCTGTCCGGCCAGGGGTAAATACCCTGGTGTTTTCCTCTGTCGGGCCAGTCGATGTCGATAGTACAGGGATATCTTCCCGCGATACGGTGTCCGTTTCCCAAGTTGTCGGAGTCCTTTGCGTGAAACTTTGGTACCTAGACAAGCGTGGCCTGACGGACGAATTCTCACCACCTGCGTTGGAATCAGATGTCTGTTCATTTTCGTTGCATTCGAGATCAGCGGAAGTCCCCAGTCTTCCCGGAAGCACCTTTAATTGCGTGCTGTCAGACTGTTCATCGAGACCCGACGACGTCTCATCAGACATTGGATGCAGTGGAGGCAGAGCTCCACTCCGCTTTGACGTCTCCACTCTGTCGGTCTGTATGGCGCTTCCCGTCTACGAAAGTACTGTACTCCGTCTGAAAGTGCGAAGTTAGGAATGTTCTGGTCCTGACCAATGACCGCCGCGCATGAAGCTGCTGTACACACGTGAGAGGTGTCGGGGAAACCCAGTACGCGCTTTGGAGCCTCGTAACGCTTCGCCAACCTGGTGTTAAAAGCCAACGAGCCGCACGGAAGGTAAAAATACACAGATGTCGATGACAGCGCATTCCTGTGTCAAGTTAAAACCGAAATTGCTGAAAGGGGCGCAGACTTCAACAAGTCGACCATCACTCCTTTTCCTTAGAAGCTGATAATTGCGTTTTTGGTAAACCTGTTTCTTTTGATTCGAATTAGTTGCTTTTGCCTGCAAAAAGACCTTTGATAGCTGCGCAACCTTTCATAATGAAAGTGATTAATAATATGCAATTTCACGTCTCAGGGTTAGGTCTTTTTTCCACGAGGTTTTTCAACTCCACTGTAAGGTTTTTCTCGTTGGCTGGCTGAGCTGGTCTCAAGCGGCGCCGATTGACCTCCATTCGTGCACTTCCGCATCAGTGCGCTGCCCCGTGCCTTCCCACCTCTAGCTAGCAGCGAACTGACCTCTCATCATGGCGGGCGACAAGAGCTCGAAGAAGAAGGGCAGCAAGACCAAGGCCCATGTGAGCGAATGGCCGTCCACGAATCCGTCGTCCAGTTCTCGCTCGATTCCTGCTAAAACGTACGTCAGCAAAAACCATCACTCTCATCATTTTGCCAGAACTAAAAAAAAAAAACTCTTTTTCCACTCATTTTGCAACAGCAATGACAAACTGCAGAAGCTCGTGTCGCCACATCTGGACTCGTTCAATTTTTTCCTGACCGAAGGTTTAGACCTCGCCGTTGCCGATATGTGCAAAGTGCCAGTGGAATTGCCAAACCAGCACCGCATGGACATTTGGATTGAAAATGCGCAAATCGGCTACCCCACCACGGAAAACCAGATCACAGGCGAGCAAAAGCTCCTCCCCAGCGAATGTCGCCAACGTGGCGTGTCGTACACTGCGCCTCTGGTCGTGACACTCGCTCGGTCCTTCGGTGGTTCTCAGAACGTCGAGCGTCTCCAGCGCGTGGTGGGCGAAATCCCCATCATGGTTCGCTCCAAGCGTTGCCACCTCAATGGCATGTCACCCTCCGAGCTTGTCAAAGCTCGCGAAGAAGCCAACGAAATGGGCGGCTATTTCATTTGCAACGGCAACGAGCGTTGCGTGCGTCTTTTGCAAATGCCACGTCGCCACCACATTATGGCCGTGCGTCGTGGCGCGTTTGCCAATCGTGGCGACTTGTACACGGAACTTGCCGTGTTCATGAAATGTGTCAAACGTGACCAAACTGCCGTCACCGTCACCGTTCACTACTTGCAAGATGGTAACGCTACCGTGCGTTTCGGTGTGAAAAAGCAAGAGTTCATGATCCCTGTGGGTCTTGTACTCAAGGCGCTGTACCCACTCACAGACCGCGAAATTTACGAGCGTGTGCTACGTGGAGACCACGAGAACACGTACCTGTCCGCTCGTGTGGAGCTGATCCTCCGTGAAGCCAAGAAATTCTCACTGTACACTCGTGACGAGGCGTTGGCGTACCTGGGCAAACATTTCCGGTTTGCCATGCCCTACGTTTACGAAAACATGAGCAACGTGGAAGTTGGCAGCAAACTATTGGACGAGTTCCTGTTCGTGCATATCCCCAAGGGCGAAAAGGGACGCACACAGAAGGTGGAGCTGCTGTGTCTGATGCTACGCAAGCTGTACGCCTTTGCCAAGGGCGATGTACCCGAAGATAACGCCGATTCCGTCATGAACCACGAGCTTTTGTTGCCTGGCCATTTGTACCTGATGATCCTGAAGGAAAAACTCCAGGAATCGCTTGCTGCCATGCGTGCAAACATCTTGAAGGAGACGCAGAACAAGAAGAAGGCCGTCGTGATGGACCAGGTTTTCCTGCGTAAGATGTGGGATCGCACGCCAAATATTGGTAACGCCATGACGTACTTCTTGAATACCGGTAATCTCCGTTCGTCCAGTGGTCTGGATCTGCTGCAGATTGCGGGTTACACTATTGTCGCTGAGAAACTGAATTACTACCGGTATTTTTCGCACTTCCGCTCGGTTCATCGTGGCCAGTTCTTCACGGAGATGAAGACTACCGCAGTCCGTAAGTTGCTGCCGGATTCATGGGGTTTCCTGTGTCCCGTACACACACCCGATGGATCTCCGTGTGGTCTGCTTAACCACTTGGCAGTCGAGTGTGAACTGGTGTGTCACCCTGCGTTCAAAGCTGATGATTATTTGCAACAAGAAGTGAAGTTGGCTCGTTTCTTGGCCAGCCTCGGTATGATCCCCACTTCGGGTTACGCTGACGGTGCTCTCATCGTACCCTACTCGTACCTGCCAATTATGATGAACGGTAAAGTATTTGGTGGTGCACCAGCCGAAGTTTGCAAGCGTATCGCCGAAGTTTTACGCAAGATCAAGTCAGCCAAGAGCTCAGAGGAACGTAACGCTAACGGTATCGTACCGAACCTCGAGGTGTGTCTGATCCTGCCTACCCGTGGTGGTCCCTTCCCGGGTCTCTACCTCTCAGCCGACGCTGCACGTATGTCGCGTCCAGTGAAGCAGATGGACACCAAACGTATCGAGTACATTGGCCCCATGGAGCAAGTGTTCATGGACATTGCGTGTACGAAAGATGACATCCGTCCGGCCACGACTCACATGGAGATCAAGCCCACCAATATGCTGTCCCTTGTGGCTTCGTTGACCCCTTTTTCGGACTACAACCAGTCTCCGCGTAACATGTACCAGTGTCAGATGGCTAAGCAGACTATGGGTACGCCAGCACACTCGATCGTGCACCGTTCGGACAACAAGATGTACCGTATCCAGTCGCCTCAGATCCCTATTGTACAGAACGAACGTCTGCGCGAGTACCAACTTGACGAGTATCCTCTGGGTACCAACGCAGTGGTGGCTGTGATCTCGTACACGGGCTTCGATATGGAAGACGCTATGATCCTCAACAAGTCGTCATATGAGCGAGGCTTTGGCCACGCTTCAGTGTACAAGCAACTGACTGTGGACATTAGTTCCAGTGGCAAACAGGGCAGTGCCACATCCAAGAAATACTTCTCCAACATCAAGACCGATGGCAGTGGCGAGTTCTGCTCCACGAAGCTGGATCGCGATGGATTCCCGCATATTGGCCAGGTCGTGAACCACGGAGACCCCATTGCCAGCTGGATCGACGAGACTACCGGTTTACCGTCGTTCCAGAAGCACAAGGAGACTGAACCAGCTATCATCGAGCAGATCAACATGATCGGTAACTCGTCACAGGCCTCCGAGTTCACCAAGGCGAGTATCAAGCTCCGATTCTGTCGTAACCCGACGATCGGTGACAAGTTCTCGTCACGTCACGGACAGAAGGGTGTGATGAGTATTCTGTGGCCTCAAGCCGACATGCCGTTCTCCGAGTCGGGCATTTCACCGGACATTATCATTAACCCGCACGCCTTCCCGTCGCGTATGACTATCGGTATGTTGATCGAGTCGATGGCTGCTAAGACTGGTGCGTTGAAGGGCAAATACATGGATGCCACGCCGTTCAAGTTCAGCGAAAAGGACCGCGTGATCGACTACTTCGGCTCGCAATTGAAGGAACATGGCTACAACTACATGGGCAGTGAACCGCTGTACTCCGGTATCTCCGGTACAGTCATGCAGGCGGATATCTACATCGGTGTCGTGTACTACCAACGTCTGCGTCATATGGTTAGCGACAAGAGCCAAGTGCGTGCTACCGGTCCCATGAACTCGCTCACTCGCCAGCCTGTTAAGGGCCGTAAGAAGGGTGGAGGTATCCGTCTGGGTGAGATGGAACGCGACTCGCTGCTGGCTCACGGTTGCGCTTTCCTGCTACAAGATCGTCTGTTGAACTGTTCCGACAAACACATTGCCACTGTGTGTACAAACTGTGGCAGTTTGCTGTCCAATGCCACGCAACGCTCGACGGTGGAGACTGCTGGACAAGGAGAGATCGCTGTGGCCATGAAGTCCAAGACCCAATGGTACTGTACAGTCTGCCAAACTGGAGAAGGCTGCGAGCCTGTGGCTATGCCCTACGTCTTCCGCTACTTGGCTAACGAACTGGCTGCCATGAACATCAAGATGTCTCTCACGTTGAAGGGATGCTAAAAGGATGAAAGCCAGGAGGTTACACTTCCAACAAATAGATTTATTTGGTGTGAACTTATCCGTTTTTTTTTATCTTTACCGTACATTTTTTTTAAAGGTAAAAGTGTTCATATTCGCTTTGGGGTTTCAAGACACAGTGCAACAACTCAAGTGAAGATGAGGAGTTCTAGCGACTTTAATGCGTCGTTGCGTCAATCTCGGAGTCCTAGTAGTACAACACGTGTGAATCGAGGTCCGTATCAAGGAATGAGTATCAATGTGTCTTCGGCTTGGAGTTCACCATCCAGTAGTGCACGTTCGTCGCCTCTAAGTACTTCGTCGCCGAGTAATACACGTCGACAGCAGCACTACAGTTCACCAGCAGCAGGAGGATACCTCCAACGAACAGCGATATCCAACGCCTACAACTCTGGAACTGCCCGTAGTGAAGATGGCGAGACGGCGTCGACAACTTCGGAGGGATTTCTCGAGCGACCGTCGTCTCCAGCCCATAGTACACACAGTATTTCGAGTAGTTCGAGTCGATTCGGAGAACGTGGCAGCAATTTCAAGGTGGTGATTCGTGTTCGACCGCCGTTGCCACGTGAACTTCACGGGGATCGACCGTTCCAGAACGTCATCAACGTGGATCAACACGGTCATGTGTTGACTGTATCGGAGAACCTCAGTGCATTGAGCAGTAGTGGAAGCGTTGACAGTGATTCCAGTACACCAGGAGCGTACGGTAGTCACGTGTTCTCGTTCGATCATGTGTACGACCAACAATGTACACAGAGTACAGTGTACGAGAACACGGCCAAGGCAGTAGTGGAGTCCTCACTCGAAGGATACAACGCCACCATCTTTGCCTACGGACAGACTGGAACAGGAAAAACGTACACGATGGAAGGCTTTAACAGCGGCTCCGGTAGTGTCGAAGAGCGTGGCATCATCCCACGTGCTATCGAGCAGATTTTCTGCCACATTCAAGCAAATGTGTCCGCACGCTGTCGTTTTCTCGTACGTGCATCGTATCTGCAGATATACAACGAATCCATCTCGGATTTATTGAAACCCGAACGATCCAACTTGACTATCCGAGAAGACCGACGTCGTGGTGTTTTTGTTGAGGGTTTATCTGAATGGGTTGTACGATCACCAGAAGAAATCTACGGACTCATGGAACGCGGTGGGGCCATGCGAGCTACTGGTAGTACAAAGATGAACGAGTTGTCATCTCGTAGCCACGCTGTGTTCATCATTATCGCCGAGCAGAGTAAAACAACGTATGTGGACTCCAAAGGCAATGATGTAGCACCGGAAGAGTTCATGGCGCTTGTTAACGCTTATCAAGCGCGTCACGGTAACACCCCTACTAACGGGAAAGCTCCTAACGGAGCGAATGGCAACGCAGCAGCGTTGCATCCGAAGCTAGAAGCGATGGTTCGGCAGAGTTTCAAGGTTGGTAAGCTAAATCTAGTGGATCTTGCTGGCTCAGAACGTGTGAGACTGTCTGGTGCTACTGGCCAACGACTAGAGGAGAGTAAGAAGATCAATCAGTCCCTTTCAGCACTGGGAAATGTCATCTCGGCTCTCACCGATGCACGCGGACGTCAACATATTCCGTATCGTGATAGTAAACTCACTCGTATCCTTGAGGATTCGTTAGGTGGCAACTGCAAGACCACGATGATGGCCATGGTATCTCCTGCATTGGAAGCCATGACCGAGTCGCTTTCTACCCTTAAGTTCGCAAACCGAGCTAAACACATCAAGAACGAGGCACGAGTTAATGAAGATTTGGATCAGAAATCATTACTCCGGAAGTATGAGCGAGAACTTAAGCGATTGCGAGCAGAACTGGAAGAGCGTTCTCGAAATGTTGTGGATAAACGTCGACTACTTGAGTTGGATGAACAACGGCGACGTGCTGAAGAAGACAAGATGGCAGCGATTCGCGCTCTGGAGGAACGTTCTCGGGAGTTTATGCGCGAGAAAGAAGAGAAGAAGCGTCTTGAACAGCGGATTTCAGCGCTGACTTCTCAAATGCTGATGAGTAACCAGAGACGACTAACACCTACTAGTCTTAGTGGTGACGGAGAGACCCTTAATGTTGAGGATCCGTTGATACGAGATGCTCTTAAAGAGCATCAGGATCGGATTCGACAGGAATATGAATGTCGTCTAGCTGATCTCGAGAAGGAGCGAGAGACGATTGAAGAAGAGAAGGCGCAAGTGGATCGCTACAAGCAGTTGTTACTCAAACAACGAGACATTATGATTGCTTTGACTCAAAGACTAAACGAACGTGACGAGCAGATCACTGCATTGCAAGATGAACTAGATGCGTATGATCGTCACCAGAAGGAGCTGGAAGAGAAGCTTGATGAGAAGACAGCACACCTCATTCACTTGCAACGTGTAGCGATGGAACACAACGCGAGTTCCCCTGGTAAAACTGATGCCGAGTTACTTAAGGCACTTGGAGACTGGGGTGGTGGTGCAACTCAAGCGAAGATGGCACCAACAGTTGTTTCTGCGGTCTCTGAGCCTCCTGCTGAGCTTCTTATCACACACAAACAGTTCCGACCTCATCCAGTTGATCCAGTTATCATAAACGACAACAACTACAGCAACAATACCGGAAATGGTCTGTTATCTGCCGAGGAGAAGATTAAAGAACTACGCGCGTTGGTTGATGCACAAACTGCGGAGCATCAACGGATGGCCAAAGAACTGGAAGATGTCAAATCTGAAAAGGTATCAGTTGAGTTCCAGATGCGTGAGAAGCTCGAAAAACTCGTTCAAGTGGAGCTCGAAGCGCGTACTAAAGACCTTAACCGCTCTGATAATAGGGACAAGCAACAACTCGCGAATCTGCAAAGACAATTAGAAAAAATGATGCTAGAGAACCAACAGCTACAGACTCGAACTGTTACTGACGACCAGACGCAACTACAAGCGCGATGCGAGACGTTAGTGAAGGAAAGACGCGCAGTGCAGACCATCATGGAGCACAAGATCAAGGCTCTCGTCACAGCTATCGGGGAAGCGTCTGATGCCACGCTTCAGACTGCAGGAGGGGCTGATAAACTAGGGGAGCCTGCGAAATGGCTGGCACGAGAGATCAACGCACTTCAGAGACTTGTTAACGCTTCAATCGTTGCTCTACGCAACGCTGACGCTGGAAACGGAAAACCCACAAAGGAGTCGAGTAGCAGCCAACCTACGCCTACGACGGCACCCGCCGGTATCAGTAGTAATCGTGAAAAAACTGATGCATCCAGGACGATGGTTTCGTCGATATCTGGTGCCCAACCTACGAACTTGTCAGTGGACGAACTTATAGACCAGAGGAGAGCGCAACTGCAACAGCAACGCGAGCGATACCCCAGTATATAACGATTCAAGTAGCTAAGAGTTCGTTGAAAGTAACAAAAAAAAACTCAATTTAAAGCGGACTCACACTTTTGACAGACTCATCACCTTGAGATAGAGGTGGTGGTGGTAAACCAACAACGTCTTGACTAATCCATCGCTTCTCACTGTTGTCGGCGATAAATTTGAGCTGGTTATCATCACTTTTCAGATACGAATCCACGATCCAGAATTGAACGGACGTGCAGCATCCTGGGATCACCAGCATCACGAGAGACAATTCCAAGTGTCGATGGTGCTTGAAAGCCGAAAACAACCTCGTGGAAAAGTACGCAATGTCCGGGAAGAAGGCCCAGAGAATTAACACGTCGACCATCTTCATGAGTGTGAGCGCTGTAAGATAAGCGAAGAACTGCGTCCACCAAATTCGCATCTGTGGTGGATCACCATAATCACCACAGCGTGCGATGTCCAGGAGTCCGAATCGCGCAGCCACATTATCGATCATACGCAGGAAAACTATCATAATGAAGCCACCCCATGTCGTATCGAGCACATAGTTGACAAAATATATTCCACACTGGTAATGAAGTTAGTTTTATACTGGTATTTGAAAAAGAAGTAACAAAAGTACAAACCTCATCGTAGTTTTCAGTCGACGCAGCAACCATTACGATGGACAAGATGACACTGACGCAGTGAATGTACAACGCACCCAGAGACTGCTTACTCACGTCCATCGCCCAGACTTTAATGGGACGAATGGGAAACTCGAGTTTGCGCTTGATGTAGAGCATGAAGATGGCAATGCAAGCCAGTAACAACTGCAGCAAGCGGCCAAACACATCTGTGAACAAATGGCAGTCATCGCTGGAATCCAAGACCGTCATGATCTTGCAAAAGTTAATGAGACCGTTGGATCTAACGTCTTTTCGTGACGTTTTTTTTTTATTTCTCCCATGACATGACTTTTTTATTTTTTGTGAACGGTCCCTATCGACTTCAACTTGTACAGGATAAGCACAAACCATGCAGGTTTTCTTATGTCGTTCGCGTTCCGTTGTTTAGTGTGCATCGCCCACGTACAAGAAGTTTCTGTCCGTGGCTTGGTTGCCTTGGTAGTCGACGACAAAGTCGTTAGGCTTGGAGCCATCCGGGAGGGGTACACCCCAGTCGCAGTCCTGCTCGATGCCGAGGTTGTTGTGGTGCATCTGGATACGGAACCAGCCGTTCTCACCCCAATACGTTCCCCACGAGTTGCGTCCGATCCCTGACAAATAGAGAAGTGTCAATAATATAACCTGTGTAGCAGTATTGAGATCAGTACTTACAGTATTCAGTGTCCGTGTCTTCGTCGTATCCCCAACCAGCGACGGAGATTTCGTGGTTGATCAGTGGGAACATGACGTGCTCCGAGTAGATGCCGCCCGTGTACGACTCGAACTTCGACGTGGCGTGCACACCGCAGCCAATGGGACCACGCTTGTAGATCTCGGCCTTCATACGGTCAGCGCCGCTCACCGATCCGTACTCGGACACGTAGTACTTGGCGAACTTCTTGATGGGCTCACACACACCAGGAGTGAACGATTCCTTCGACGGCCAGCAACTGAGTCACAAACAACCAAGTCAGTGGCTAGGAAGCATAATCAAACGCAGATCATGTTCTTACGTCTCGCAGATAGCGAACTGGTCGCACTGGAGATTCTTGGCTTGATACGCTTGGCACGTTTGGTCCGGAATGCCATGGCGGTGTGCATATTCATACACCAGACCAGGGTTTCCACCATTACAAGTACCGCCAGCGTGACAGTTGATAAGGACCTGTGGTGATAGCGCAATTTCCGGCCACGAAGCTACAGGATATCAATAAAATCAGCATTCAAAAGCCATAATCTGTTGCCAAGTCCAAGACGTACCATTTCTCAGGATGGAGATACGATCGGACAGTGCACTGGTTGTTCCCTGAGCCCAGCAACTGCCACAGTATTTCGGAATATGCTGGTTCTTGTCCCACGTGACGTAGTTCTTCCCATTGACATCACGCCAGTCCCACTTCTTCGGGAGATCCTGAACATCCATCGTCTCATGAGGCAGTGGCGAAATCACGCGCTCTCCGCCAGCAAAGTGCAGCTTCTGACGACAACCGCCCAGCGTCGACTCCACCGATGTCTCTTCTTGAGGTTCCTCCAATTTTTCCTCTTCTTTTTCCTCAATTTTTGTCGGAGTCGGCCATCCGTCGTCCCTGGGCACGCCAAAGGCGCATTCTCCTTCCACTCCCACATTGTTGACGCCTCGAATGACGCGCATCCAGCCATCTTCGCCCCAGAAACTGCCCCAACTGTTGCGTAGCACCCAATAGGGTACTCCGTCTTCCTCTCCCCACCCAACGATCGAGATGGCGTGGTCCACGTCTGTAGCGTTGGTTTTATCATCAAAGATACCTCCCGAGTACTTGAGGAACCCGTCGGTAACTGCCACACTGCATGCAATTGGTCCACGAGCGTAGATCTCGGCCATCATCTGCTGCTCGCCCAGAGTAGTGCCGACCTCTGAAACATAATACTTGTCGTATGCCTTCTGGGGGAAGCAGCCCTTACTAGGCAGGCAGTTCTCGCATACGTCCATGTCGGTGCAAGTGTTGCCTGTGTCATGGCCCGTGGCTGCGTAACGTTGATATCCTTCTTCGGGAACACCGTGTTCCTTTATATAGCGATAGGCTTCCAACTGATCGCCACCGTGACAACCGTTGTCTTTCTTGTCACAGTTGAGGAGCACTTGGGGCGACAGCACCACCTCTCGGTGCACTTCCACTGACGGTTTGTTGCCTGGGTTGCGCTCCTTGGCAATGAGGATGCGGTCTGCCAGAGCTGATGTCGCCGCTGTATAAATTATAACATTCAAGAAGGATATGTTAGGTTTAATATTGATATCAACTTCAAGGAGGGTTTGCAGCGCACCGAAGGACCAGCACGAGCCGCAGTAGTGAGGAATGTGCTGATTGCGCGAGATGCTCACGTAGCGCGTGCCGTTAATGTTGCGCCAGTCGAAGTTCTTGGGCAGCTTAGACACGTCGATGTAGTCGTGCGGCCGAGGCGAAGTGAGTGACACAGAGCGATCCGGACTGCGCACGTAGCCGAAGCCCCCGCTGCTCGTGCGTTCAAGCAGTGAGAGCGGCGAGGCCGATACGGTGGCAGCTACAAGGGCGACAATGAGAGACGCCCGCATGCTGCGATGGATGCTTGAAAATCCTGAGTTCTGCTCTTGACGTCAGGATGAAGAATGAATCGACGCTTCAACAAGGGGGAAAGTGGCTAATCTTCTCTAACGGTTTGCAGAGGGATGATCATAGAAGATGATACAAATTTATGGAATATCCTGCAAAATTTAATATTCAAGCATTTGAAAAGATTTGCTTTTGAAAGGCTTAAACAGCTTAAGACATTGTAAAACGTTATAACTTGTAGCTTTGATTCAAATCAAAATTTATCATTTCTAGAAAGATCTGTTAAAAGTGATATTAACGGTCCTCTGCTTGTCAGAAGCAGATCGTTTTTGATATGAGCGTTGACGTGCCGTCCGTTGCGTTGCCCAGCGGGGCACGGATGCCCATGGTGGGGCTTGGCGTGTACAAGGCCGCAGCCGGCGAAGAGACTTACGAGTCGGTTCTGTCGGCTTTGCGTCTAGGCTACCGCCACATCGACACCGCGCGGCTGTACGAGAACGAGGCCGACGTGGGTCGCGCAGTGCGGGACTCCGGCATTAATCGCGAGCAGATCTTCATCACAAGCAAGCTGCGCGAGTTCCACTGGGGATACGAGAAGGCGCTTGAGGGTGCGCGCTCCAGCAACGACCTCATCGGCTGCGGCTACATTGATCTGTTCCTGTTACATCAGCCCTTCGACCCCACGCTGCGCGCTGATACCTGGCGTGCGCTCGAGGATCTGCAGAAGGAAGGCATCCTGCGCGACATCGGCGTGTCCAATTTCGGAGAGCCACATTTGACTAAACTGGCCGAGACGTGGAGGGTCAAACCAGCCGTGAACCAGATCGAATTGCACCCGTGGCTCACGAGAAAGCCACTAGTCAAATACTGCGAGGAGAATGGCATTCATGTCCAAGCCTTCTCGCCTCTGGCTAGAGTGAAGAAGATCGACGATCCGAGACTTATTGAACTAGCCAAGGAAGTACAGGCTACACCAGCCCAGGTACTGATTGCGTGGGATCTGGCCAAGGGATACACCACGCTGCCCAAGTCGGTGCACGAAGCAAGACAGAAGGAGAACCTGGAAGCGGCTAAAGTGAAGCTGACGCCGGAGCAAGTGGCACGTCTGGATGCGTTCAACGAGGATTTCTACTCCGGCACAGACCACGTCAGTAACTCTGTTGTCTAAGAACAGAGTTTGTCACATTCAGTTTAGCATCGAAAGAGCCTTCTGTGGTTCCTAACTGAAGGCTGAACGCTGCGTTTGTCTAACACGTTGACGACATATATTTCCAGCAGCAACTGTGTTGCTTCCCTTGCCACCGCCTGCTTATAGATGATCTTCGCTCGACGTGATGAGGGACTGTGGCAAGTGACCGGTCTCGTTCACTGCCGTGACCTTGATAGGCCGATTAGCACACACGTCGATGCGAGTGATGCCGCAGTGGTTGATCTCGAAGTGACCCCACGTGTTCGCGGGGTCTATACCGAGTGCACGACACAGGAAGAACCGGATCAGGTTGGCATGACACACAAGTACGCAGTAGGACTCCTCGTCGCTCTCGTCTTGAGCTTCGCCTGAGCTCAAGAAGAACCTGTTGAAAGCTTTCTGCATCCGTTCGACGTCCATACGACTTCGTTCCTGTATGGCATCATACGCGCTATTGTCGCGTGCACCTGCAGCTCCTCCATATGCAGGATTGGACGAGTATGGCAGTCCAGGCCAGCCTTCACGTAGCAATGGGCTCGGGTTTAGCAACACCTCGCCAAAGTTGTTGGCGATAATAGCAGCAGTCTCCACTGCACGCGTCATATCACTGTGGTAGACAGTGACATCGTGTCGAGTAGGGACGCGGTTGTGTGCCATTGCCAGGCATTTGCCGGTTTGCTCTGCCTGTTGTCTTCCCATCTGCGAGAGCACTTGCTCTGAGTCTGATACTTGAGGCACATGAGCGTTAATGTAGTGGCCGTGTCGAACTAGGATAATGTGCTTCGTACTGGGTGGCGTGGCGTACACGAATTCACCTAGAGACGACTGCACTTGAGGCTCTAGTTTTTGGTTTCTTTGCTCATTTTGCTGGTCTCCACTCTGTCCACGCGGCTCTGGTGTCCCCTGTTGCATTCTAACGCAATTTGAAGATAGAGAACCAGTCATTTTGTCCCCTGTACTCGCCGTGCTTTCGTGCTCTCTTGACCCTGCCGCTTGGAATCTGAGAATTCCGTTCACCCACTCGACATATTCTTCCTTCGTCGACGCCATAAAGACGTAGGACGGAGCTCGTAACCCGTTGCCACTACCATTCAGTCGATATTGTAGTTGGAACTTGCGATCTTTCTTGAATGGCTCGTGCACCAGGTCCATGGCGTCAACATCCAGCACAACAGTATGATGACTGTCCTTGGACACGGTCTCCAATGACAACCCGCTGCTCTTCCGCACCAGGACGCAGTAGATCTGCACCAAACAGTCACAACACACTCTCAGCATTGCTTTTCCATCGGTTGTAGCCATTCGAAACTCCTCACCGAGCCGAGCGTTCGGAACACTGGCGAGTCCTGCCCTGTGCCGACCTGTTCCGCCACGACCAGCAGCCCCTCGACCTCCACCACTTCGCCGTCGCGTCGGCCACTTGGCACAGTCGTCAACAGTGCACGTTTGTTGCCTCGCTTCTGGTCGGCTGGCAGTTCTGCGGAAAACGTTGTCAGGTCTGTGGCCACAGTTCCGCTGGCTGGTCGCTGCTTGCGCTTAGGTGAGCTCCGAGAGCCTTCCTCGGCCTCGCCTGCCAGCGACAGCTCCTGGATGCGCACGGCCTCCGTCTTGACGGAGCAGCCGCCGCCCTTGCCGCGCGGCGGCGCCGGGGTCACGGCCAAGTCCAGCGACATGACCTGCAGAGGCGCGACTTGTGAATGTTGATGACGAATTGAAAATGAACGATTACGCTAAAAGTGAAATATTTCTGGTGAAAAGGAAATTTTGCTGAGGAAGAAAGTCAACAATTGTCAGCAGCTCATTGCTCTTGCGGGCTTTATACCACGACCCCAACGCCAGACCCCAAAGAACGGGCTGGGATAATTATCCGTACATGTAGTGAAGCCAAAGTTTGCTCAAACGGGGTTCTGAGGTGAGGCGTCGGATGTGTGTGCTTCGGCTCAAACTTCACAGCACACAAAACTCGCTACCACCTTGGTACATTACGGTATTGTCAGTGACGATTCGTCAAACTTTTCGGACAGATCGAAGGATTCGTTTGGAATGCTGGACTGGACAACCGTCGTAAGACCGGAAGAGCGGACATTCGAGCTGTGCTCCTCGACAGCGTCGAGAAAGCTACACAAGTTGCCAAACGATACACAACTCGTGTATCACAAGTGCAACTTGACTAAAATCCCACGAGAGCGGAAGAAAATGTTAGTTGCAACAGCTGCTGCTCTCGAAGTCGTTGATCGACGATAAAACCAGCCCCCACACGACAAAAAACAGCACCATTGCTCGCCAGGATGGCAGAAAGGATCGGGCTTGACAAGCACAACAAGCAAGGTTGGCATCCAGGATGGATGCTCAGCAAACGGTTTTGTTGTTGCTGCAGTCAAATTTTCGAGAAATTTACCAAAGCCCATGGCGTTTTTTCCTGCAGCCAGAAAGCCGGAGCTCGATAATCTGATCGATACTGACTCAGCGAGGCACTGAAGGCATCAGGCTGAAGCTCCGTGCCTTATGAATCACTATGTACTTTGAAGCAGCGCACAGCGCGTTGTGTTACCTCAGGCATGTACATTAGAGGACCTTTGCTTCGGTTTGACGCTTTCAGGGCGAGTCTGAAGTGTGGGAGGTTTGCAGAGAGAGCCGATCGCCGTGCCCATTCGCCACGTACTTGACGTTGACTGACATACATTCTGCACGTCACACAACGTCTACACAAATATCTGGTCATACTTTGTTCAAGAGATCCTCACATCTGATCCAAAAAGTTGGCAAAATGCTCGTCGACTGACCACATGCAGCAACTCTCCCGGGTCGGGGCTGCAGTCTGCGCTGGCCACACGAGAAAAAGCCCCAGATCACGAGGAAGACATGGCCCCAGAACACGATGAATCTGTGGAGACGCTCAGTGGTGATGCGTTTGTGGGCTACAACGAGTGGGCGGCTGAGACGCTAAAGGTGCGGATTGCCACTGATTTCGTCTACGAGACTCAGGACGGCGCCTGTGCGTCCGAGCGCGGCGTGTTCATCGCCGAAGACGTGACGCCGCACACGGAGGTGTTCAGTATCCCGCTGGACTCGGTATTGTCCGTCAAGAGTCTGCAGGAGATCTCTGCGTTGCAGAACATCGCGTTCTTCCAGCAGCTCACACCTGAGCGTGAAGACGATCAATTGGCCCTCGCGCTGCTGTACGAGAAATTTGTGCAAGGTGACAAGTCGAAATGGGCCAAACATATCGAGCTGTTACCTAAAACATACCACAATGCACTCTACTTTGAGCAGGAAGAGATCAAGGCGCTGGAAGGCAGCAACTTGTTCTTCATTGCTCAGCAGATGGAGAAGAAAGTGGCTGCGGATTATACCAGTTTGAAAGAAACGGTGCTTCTCGAACTCTTTGAAAATATCACGGAGGGAATTACCGTTGATTTATTCGATGATTTCTTCTCCTTGGACAACTACAAGTGGGCGTTGTCAACGATCTGGAGTCGCTTCGTATCACTACGGCTGGATGAGGCGCCTTCGAGTAAGGATAGCAGTAGTTCTGTTCCGGTAGCTAAGCAGTCGTTCAAGGCGATGGTTCCGGTGTTCGACATGTTAAACCACGACCCAGAAGCCGAGATGTCCCACTTCTTTGACATGGATACTCAGCTCTTTAAGCTCGTGAGTCATCAGCATTGGAATGCTGGCACACAGATGTTCATCAACTACGGACCGCTATCGAACCATAAGCTGCTGTTGTTGTATGGCTTCGTTATCATCGGAAACCCGTTCGATGCTGTGGAAATGTGGCTCCCGATGGACGAAGCGTCCACAAAGTTTTACCTCGAGAAGGAACAATTCCTCCTGATTAACGGGTTGGATCACGCTACCAACCCGTTTGAGCTTGTGGCAGAAGAGACCAATGATCTGCTTCTTATGGCTACACGGATACAGGAGATCGACTGCGAGACAGTTGAGGAGTTTGAAATACTAGCGAACAAGGCGTTGGATGGAGAAATGGTGAGTCTGGAAAACGAGCAAGAAGCACTCACGCGTCTGATCTACACTCTGGAGAAGATGCTGGAGACTTTCCCGACCTCGATCGAGGAGGACGATGAGCTGCTGGAGTCCTGGGAAGACGACTTGGTGCAGCACGGAGATGAGCAGAGCGACACTTTGAATCACGAGCGGATGGCTGTTGCTGTTCGTCGGTCAGATAAGTACATTCTCACTGAAAACATCAGCATGCTGAAGTGGAAGCTATTGGACATTCTGCCACAGAATTAGAGTGGTTAGCATTCAATTTAACGAAATACAGTCATCAACATCGTCTCTATGAATCACTGTTATCCCCCCCCGGTGGTTTTTTGGGTTAAGATGATTCTTGTTTGTCCCCCCCCCCCCCCCCCCACTGCTTCCTTCTAATGCTAATGCATGGGTTAACATGCTTCCCCTTCCTCTATAGCTCAGGCGTCTTGTAAATCTTGATATGCTTGCAGTTCTTTCCTAGCACCAACACCTCAGACCCATCGGGAGAGAACGTGGCTCGTTTGATAAGGTCTTCGATTGCGTTTTCGATGGTAAAGAACTCCTTGTTGTCACTGGTCCGAACGAACACGAGGTCCTTACCCCTCACCATGGCCAATATCTGCACCAACCAACCGTCAATAGCAATGTCAATCCAATGGCTTCAACGACAACATTCATGGCTCTAATGCATATCGCACCTTGCCGTTAGGAGCGAAGTCGGTAGCCTGGAACGGTTGATCTCCACTGGCATTGAACGATGACAACACCTTAGGATCTTCTTGCACGGTGTATCGTACTGCATAGTAATAATTACGGGCAACAAAATACCAGTAAGTACTCTCACCACTTCAGTTTTAACTATCTCTATCTCTCAAACGTACCGTTAATATCCCACAGGCGGACAGAGGAGTCCTTTGAAATAGTCACAACGCGGTTCACAGGAAGCGCGTCTGACCCATCGAAGGCAAGATCCATGACACCAGTCTACGTTTCATAACAAGCACAGTATCAGCAGCAATCCCAGCAAACTCCTAGTTTCGTAGTCTTACCCTGTGTCCCTGCAGCGTCATGATCTTATTCACCTTCTTAAAGGCGCCCGTCTTCTCACGCACAATCTCGTAGATCTTGACCTCCGGTGTGTACGCTGCCACAGCGATATACCGGTTGTCCTTGGAGCCAACGCAGTGGTAGTTTGCCACCTGGTTCGTGTTCACTGTCTGCAATAACTCCCCACTCAAGTTCCAGAACTTGACGTCCGTATCCGAGTCGCCCGCGCATGTAATGATAGTTGCCCACTACCACAGCAAAACTCCAGTCAGTCTCGTAATAAAACCTAGAGCTTAATCTACCCTCATACGTTGCCAATGTCGTTCATGAGTACAGAGTGCACGTCCGTCTTGTGTGAAACCGGGAAGTCCGCCACGATCTCCGGTTTGGCACGCAGTTTTTCTGCCAAAATCGAGCACAAAAGAACGCATTAAGCACACATTTTGGCACCCTCGGAGCGCCACGCCAACGTACGGAAGATTTTTACGTTGCCGTTCTCCGTTGCAATCACGAGACTGCGTCCGTCCGAACTGAAGCACATGGCCGTGACGTGGTCATATTCTATGTTGATCTGGTGCACCTTGGGGTTCTTTTCCTTGAGCGTGTCGCGGAAATAGAGGCGAATGGAGCGATCCGAGCTGGCCGTGGCCAGGAAGCGGCCGTTGGGGCTGTAGGCTGCAGCAGTGATGCCGTATTTGTGACCCTTGAGAACGTGTAAGATGCTCGAGTGTTCCTCTTCTGCGTCCTGCGCCGCAGCCTGCGCTTTCTTCTTCTTAATCTCCGCTGTCACGTCCACTTTCTTCTTCGCCTTGCTTTTGGACTTCTTGTTGTTGAGTCCGTGGAACTGCTGGCGCGCTATCTCCTCCTTTTCTTTCTGCAACTTCAACGCCTGCTTCTTGGCTTCTTCTTGTCGCTGCATGTACATGTATCCAGCGCCTGCCAGCACAAGTAGCAGCGCCAATACCCACGCAAGCGAGTCCATGATCTCGGATCTGTGCGCACCAAAATGAAAGATACGTGGCATTTGTGTGAGCAACACCACATAACTATCCAATAGAATGGTCATTTGAGGAATTGTTTTCCTGATGCTGCTGTGATCAATATTGAAGCTCGCATAATACTCGAGCTGATGGCAACGCGACGCCAGTATTATCAATTATTCTGAGCCACGGGGCACAGAAGTCTCGCACAATTCTCGTTTTCCGTCCCATCATCAGCAATGCTTTGGGGTATGAAACCGAACGAAACACACACTACTCTTAAGCCTGCATTGACGCTCACCAAACGACATAAAAGGCAGCATAGTCGTGTAACAGCAGGTTATAAGAGAAGAGTATACCGGTAAGTGTATGTACGAATGACCATTATCATGAGAAACGTATTGGAATCATCAAATTCAGGTCGAGTTGAATCAGCAAGTCTGGGGCACCTGTCACCGAAGTGGTATTTGTCCTGCCCTCTATCGTGGGCCATTCTGGCATTTACGACAGCAATGCAAACGCATGAACCAGCTAGAGATTCATTGCAGGGATACGAAGACAGCAATGCAAACGCATGAACCAGCTAGAGACTCATTGCAGGGATAAGTAGCAAGAAACTGATGATGCAGCATTCGATGCCGTTAGCTTCAACAGCAGCAGCTTCAACACACACTACGACGCAGTCTCTTCTAGAGGTTCAACTTGCAGTACACAAATTGGACAACTGCTACGTCGCTGTCATGCCACAAAGCAGCTTTATGCCACGAGACAGTCCGTTCACGTCAACAGAAACCCGAGCACTACATCCCTGCTCACTTTTCAATTGGAACCGTTGCAGTCAAGTGCTCGTCGCTAAGAAGACCATGGAGTTCCACGAGGCTGTTGCGATCGTGACGGGTGGCGGCCGCGGTTTCGGTCGCGCCTTCGCGGAGAAGATTCTGGCTGGTCGTGGCAAGGTCATGATTACGGACGTGAACGTACACGAGTTGCAAGCCACGGGCAAAGAGCTGCAGCGCAAATACGGCGAGCAGAATGTGTGCTGGGACCGTCAGAACGTGACCGAGAAGGACAGCTTCTCGCGCGCCTTCGCGTACGCCAGCAAATACTTCAAGAAACCCGTTAACGTGCTGGTCAACAATGCCGGTATCGCCGGCGACATGACCTTTTACCAGCCCGAGAGCACCAATTGGGAGGCTGTCATCGACATTGACCTCACTGCGCTCATCCGCGGCACACAGTTCGCCATCTGCGAGTTCAAGCGCACACTTAATGGCAAAGAGGGTGTCATTGTAAACCTTGGCAGCATGGCCGCCCTCTCTCCAACGCCGTTCGGACCCGATTACGCTGCGGCCAAGGCCGGTGTCGTGGGCTTTACACGCTCGCTGTACCAGCTCAAGAAGTCGGACAACATCCGCTGCTTCTGCATGTGCCCGGGTTTCGCCGAGACGAACATGGGTCACCAGGCTGTCGAGGAAGTCCCTCAGTACACCAACATGATGGGCGGTCTCATGCCAATCAAGGCTGTGGTGGACGCTTTCGCCGCCGGTATGCGTGAGCCTGACAATGCTGGTCGTGTGCTGCGCATCATGAATAAGGGCACGGCGTACTATCGCTTCCCCGGCGACAAGACGCTGTTCCCGAACTCGAAGTTGTAAGGTGCTGGATCAAGTCAACTTGCCTTGGTAGCTAGCAAATACGAGTTGAAATGTGGTGCTTGAATGAAATTTTTTGGTGATGAGGTCAACGATTTATGGATGTGATGCATATATTACTTCGCATGACAGAAGTAAAGTGAAAATGGACGGCGCTGATGATCATCCAGATCGAGCAACATAAGCTAGTGCTAGCCGAATGTATACTAAACTAAAGGCGATGTCAAAGCCAGTCTGACGACCTATTACTACGAGATCAAACAAGCACTGCAGTCGTTGACCCTCTCTTCCGCCGCATTATCGCGATAAATAGAAATGCATGACCTTGTCGACCATAATTTCTTGCTTGAATTCTCTTCAACGCCTCCTCTACTTTGCATGAAGCTCGCACTGCAATGTACTCAATGCATTTTCGTACCATTTTCATCGTCGGGGTATCGTCTAAAACTCGGCAAAGGGATCCTTGCCGTTGTAAACGGGAACAATCGCATCCTCCATGGAGTCTGGGTACGGATCGAAATTGGACGTATCGTTGGCCGTGCCGACACGTGGGATAATCGGAGCGGCGCCCTTGCGCGCTAGTAGGTCTTCCCAATTAATACCAGTGAAGAACTTATGCTTCTTGATGTCCTCGACTCCGTTCTTAAGACAACCGTACCGTTTCGTTAGGTCGGCTGTGAGCATGCGCTTGATAAGTCCCTTGGCGTTGCGGTCGAAAAAACGCGGGAAGTTGAGCTTTCCTGAAAGAATTTGCTGGTAAATGCCCATGGGGTCGTCGTCGCAGAAAGGTGGCTGTCCTGCGAGCATTTCATAGAGCAAGATGCCCAGTGTCCACCAATCCACTCCCTTGCCGTGTCCCTTGTTTAGTAACACCTCCGGCGCGATGTACTCGGGTGTACCGCAAAGCGTGTACGTCTTGAACGCGACTCGCTTGGCGAATCCGAAGTCGGTGATCTTGATGTAACCCTCGTTGTCTAGTAGCAAGTTCTCGGGCTTCAAGTCGCGGTAGATGAAATCCTGACTGTGCATGTACTCGAAGATGGACACGACCTGTGCTGCGTAAAACTTTGCCGTGTTGTTGTCGAACCGCCCAGCCTTTCGAAGGTGTGTGAAGAACTCACCACCGATCACATACTCGAGCACCATGTACAAGTACTTGGTGTCCTGGAACGTGCCTGCCAAGTTGACGATGAACGGGTGGTCCAAACATAGCAAGATGGACTTCTCCGAGAGCATGTGCTCCACTTGTTGCAATCGAATGATCTCGGCCTTTTTCAAGATCTTGATAGCCCAGTACGTGTTGGTTGCCTGTTAACAAGCCACCACATCGTCAGTTATTGGAAATAACCCACCTTTTCGACCGTCATATCTTACTTTATGCGTCGCGAAGCGCACACGACCGAAGGAACCGGTACCCAGCGTCACGCCCATGTCGAACTGCGAGCCATCGAGCGGGGCTGCGAACTTGTTCGAGACCTTGACGCCGTCTGGGGTGGTCATTCGTCCTGAGTGTGTCCCTGTGGTATAGTCTCAGTTGACTGCTGCCGTGTCCAGCGCTAGTCGAATGTGTCAATCCTGTGCGCGAACGGGGGCGTCTGCGTGTGGTGAAACCCCAGCAGCCTTGCTCACTCGCGTCTTTTTTGGGCTATGGGCGCGTGCGCAGAGGAATCGGCAGTGAAGGGGGCGACGATCAGATCCGATCACAATAGCCGGTGGTTATCTACGCAACGGGTATTTTTGTCCTGCAGCTCGCCGCTCCGTTTCCACCTCGACACTTCGCAGCCAGCACGATAGGAATAGCAATGTGGTGCGAATATACGTCCGGCCAGGAGCGGGCTGGCCTGGACATAACCAACATGAACCTGAACAGCCGCGAACGTAATTATAGAAAAAAGCAAGATAAGGCCGGCCGAGTGAGTGCCGCGAATGAAGCGGCCTCTATCTAATAGTACAGATGCTTCTTCCATTATTTGGCCAAGTTCTGTCTAAACTATAGTAGAACATCGAGCTACGGAACATAACGCTGCTCGAGTGTCGATGGATCGCCTCATGAGCCTTGTGTCACGAAATTTCATGTTCGACTTAAAGTCCACCGAACACGCACGGAAGGCGAGGGGGAAAGGCCTAAGTAAGTACATGTAGTTGACGGTCAGACTGACAACTTGTAGGCTACAAGCTGCCGCCCTTCGACGCGTTTTAAACATTACAAAGTGTGCGGTGGACGCGTTTTTAAGCACTTTAAAGTGTTCAGGTGTACGTAGAACCAAACCATTGGTTGTGGAAAGTCACCGCTGGTGATATCTTCCTGAAATCGAATAAGATCGTAGTCTCCTTCGCTTTGGCTGTGGTCGCCTAAAGTTCCGTCGTAAAAGTCGAAGAGATTTGTAGAGCATGCGGACCTCGGTGGGTTCTCGGTCCAAATTCAAGCTTTGTCAAGTTGAAGTGGAAAAGTTGCGCGAAGGTCGCTCAAATAATTTAGCGTGGTCCACATCACACATATGGACAAGAACGGGACAGGGAGCTGCTCGCTTGGGCGATAGTCAATTCTTCACGATGGGGATCAGACCGTCGCGCACTGATGGCGCGTCGGTCGGTGGCCGCCAGCGACGGCGGCATCTCTCAGTCCTCCTCATCGCCGCGTTGATACTGTCGTGCTGCTCAGCACAAACGAGCAAGGCGAAGGCTAGAGCCCCCGCGACGGTGGCACCAGAGAGCGTCGTGGAGCCCAACGAGGGCGCTTTCGCCACTATCATGTACGATTTTGGTGAGGACAGCGAGGCGCTGCTGCTAGCCACGCGCGTGCTTATGCGCAGTATCAAAGACTCCAACACCAAGTACCGTCGCATGGTGATTGTGCCGCAGGACGGACTGCAGGAGAGCAGCGAGAGGGCGCTCAAGGGGGACGACCCGGACCTGGAGATCGTTCGCACTAACATCCCCAACGTGTTCGCGCACATGCCGCTGACCGACCACCGTACACAACTGCTACATATGCGCAACAAGCTCGTGATATGGGACGATCCGCAGATCTCGTCGCTCAAACGCGTGGTCTACCTGGACCCAGAGAACCTGGTACTGCGCAATCTGGACGAGATTTTCGCTTGCCATCAGTTCTGTGCTGTGGACAATGGCCAGTCAGTCGTGTACTCGAATGGACTGTTAGTTATCTCTCCCGATAGTATCGTGGCGAGGAACCTGTACTCAGATGCCATCGACGGCTTCATGATCACTGGCCGCGAGTACAATTACATCGGTATCATTCAAGGCTTCATGCCCGGACTCTTTGAGGCCTTTGAGGAGAGTCCATTGTTCTTCCTGGGATGGGATGGAGATGACAACGGCGAAGAGAGCGACGGAGCAGACGATGGTGACGATGCAGTGGATGCGGTGGACGTCTCGGTTGTCCACCGCTTGCCGTTCTACTACAGTATCAACCACATGGTCTTCTATGAACGCATGAACTGGGATCTATACAAATGCAAGGATAAGAACCTGGCCAAGGGGGAGATCCCTGGTCCCTTATTGAGCTACAAGTACAGTGGCGCTACTGTGAAGCCGTGGTTCTGGCTGCCGTACACGTACTTCCAGGTGTTCTGGTACTGGCAGGATGTGCGTGCACGACTGGGAGAAGACCATTTCGGCAATTTTCTAGGCAGGGTGGTGTCGTTCCTGGTCATTTTCGCCTTCATCTGGTTTGCCTACATCTCCCTCTGTTTGAAGCTGTTCACGGAGCCTAATGGACGACCACGCCGCTTGTCAAGCTGGGGCCTGCCCACTCCTGGCAACGCACAGCCACTCTCCATCGATGTGTTTAACTCTCGTATGGTGCGTCGAGCCTGTCAGTTCTCATGCAGTGCTCTGTATGCCATTGCATCCATGCCACTGGTTTCAAGCGTCTCCATCGTCGTCCTGCTTACTTGGTGTAGTATCCAGGTGATCCCAATCACCATGCAGCCCAGTTACGCAGGGAAACTCTGGGTTATCGTGCACGACCTGATGCTGACAACACTATTGCTGATTTTCGCAGTGGCACACACGTTGCGTACTGCTCAGTGGAAGAAGGACGAGGTGCCAGCAACGTCAGATATGCTGCTGGGTGGCATCTGGTGGTGTGTCAAGAAGCTGCCGCTGCTGGTGCTGGCACAGCTTCAGTTCCTGTACATGATCGGCCGTACCGATTGGTTCCAGAACCCCGTGCTGCGTCCTGTCATGACCTTCCTCTTCTTTGCCACCGCCGCCATTGTGGAAGGCCGCATTCTTGTTGTCGAGATGCACCGCATCACAAGGAACTGATCGGCTTTGGCTCCGATTATACATAGGGAATGACAGACAAACCTGCCGATTATCAGCTAGTAGCAGCTAGACGCAGAGACAAGTGCGAGCAGTTTGTATGGTACGACACAAAAATGCCAATAGAAAAGGAACTAGGCACGAATATTAGTCAACTAGTAGTCCGAGCGGCGCTTCTTCTGAGAGCCAGGTACACATAACACACATTTTCGTCAGCCCAATTGAGAGATAGAGAGAGAAGAACCTTCTTTCGACACACCTGACTGACCTGGAGTTCCTGAGTCGACAGGGGCTGTTTGCCGCCGGTGAATGTCCGTTCTTGTGGTGTTTCTGTCCGTTGCTGTTCAGCTGCATCTTTGCGTAGATCTTTCACGACTGCAGCCAGCGCCTCCGGGTTGACGCCCTTCTGGATAAGCGCCATTAGGATCGCCAGGGTGTCCCGGTCCAGACCAGTGTTGAGCAGACGGGAAAGCTCGTACACGGCTGCGAGCAGTTTGACAAAGGAGAGGATGCATTAGAGATGGATGTGAAAGTGCTTGAAGCGTTGATAGGGCAACGCACTCTCCATGACTTCCGCGCGAGAGGCGGTGATGCCGTCGCTCATGTTGCTTATGGTGCGGAATCGCAAATTTTAGATCCGGATAACAAAAACAAATCCGGATAAACCGATAGTTTCTGGTAGACTTCAACTTTAGCGTACATTCATTTTTTCCCTACGGAAACTTGGCGCTGAGCGGCGAAAAGGTGAGATTGAATGATCAGTCTTCCTCAATTGTCGAGTTTTAAGTAACGCAATTCACAGCTATGACGAGAGACCGTGCCGTATGTCCTGACATGAAACATTTCACTTAGTAAAAGATAAAAAAAAAATGAGCAAGTCTGAGCACCAGATTTCTTTTATCTCCATCCACTCAGCCATCCTGATTTAACTTTCAGATCGTTGACCTCACTTCCATTTGTTAAGCCTGGAATTCTTCTTCTCTCCATTTTTTCCTGGTGTTTGTATCCCAAGCTCCAACAAGAGAATGAGTTTACCACGACCACGTTTCTCTTGTTCTTTCAAAGAGACGCCATCAGCGGAGGATTTGGCTTGCATAAGCTCTTCGAATTCTGAAGCTCGCCGCGCTCCGAAACACAATAAAAGTCGGCAAATTCCAGCTTCACTCGTTTCAAGAAATCAAATGGGGACTCGGTTTTGCCCTTGATTTTGGACTCTTCATTCTGCACAATCACATCCTTCGCTTCGAGTTCGCCTTGGGCACTTGATTGGACTGTTAAACCGCATTGAGAAGCGTTAATCTTCACGTTGCAGCTACGCTTGCGGTTCGATTCCGTACCCGAAATCACGGATATGTTCGCCGGGAACTTACGCTTGTCCCCTGATCGCGTTAAACAACCGTCTTGTAGCTTCACCTCTGTGCTATCCATCGTAGCAGTTGGAGTAGGCTCAGTACATACTGGAGGAGCAACATTCACGAAATATGCCTCCTTTAACTTCCTTACCATCACTAAATGAATGGAAGCGTCCTCATGAAGACTCTCCAGGATTTCTTTGAGAGTACTCAACGTCAAGGTTTCTTGATCTTTGCACGCACCAGAAAGAGCGCATCTGCCGTTCTCATCCCTCGAATGAAAACTAAAATCAATATCTGCCGTATTCGCGGTACAATACATGGCAGCGAAGCGTGTACCATCACCATTCCAAGTCTGCAAAAACTGTGGTGGCCACTCCCTGTTTGGTGGCGATAAAAACGGAATAACGGCGGCGTTCTTGTCGTGGTTTGACGGAGGATTCATTACCGTATCGATGTCCGCGACCACATCCATTTCGTAAAGAAATCTCCCTACGAACTCGGGGGATTTAACTCCATAAAACTTTTCACGGTGGCTTGCAAGAACGACCGCACCAGTCACAAGGCTTTCCAGAGTTGAGGCGCCATTCTTACGAGTTGAAATGTTACTGCAGTCGGCGTCTCTGAAAAATTTGTCTTGCAGCACCACGTGCAACGGGACATTTACCGGCCGTAATAACTCACCCTCTTCCATTTCATGGTCTCCCATTAAGATCAAATGCAGCAGCATGTCACTCTCCAGTTGCGGGAATTTACGACTGCACTTCCAGTTTTCTTCGTCTTTCAGCAGACCACAACTACCCAGATTGAGGTCAAACGGTTCGGATTCCTCTAGGCAGCCGAAGTGACTGTCAATCAGGTTGGTACATGTATCTGCCACACGGTAGAAAAACTCGTTTGGCCGCCCTCGCTCCTTCAAGCTCCGGATTACGCGCGCCAGTTTTGCAGTCATATCACTTAAGTACCGAATCCTATCCGCTGGAGTCGTTCCAAAGTTTCCATTCTCCGTCATGTACTGTCAGGCTAGGATTGCGAACAGTGGTCGAGAATGCTGAAGGATCCACTCGAGTTGAGTAAGAAGCATCGCCTTGGAGACTCTACCATCCCCATCACCTGAGTGTTCGTCATCAAGCACAATGGTAGAAGGGAGCAATGGGATCACCACCACACACCAAGGAGTTTTTTTCATCTCTGACGTCGATCGAGAACTTTTTCCAAAGCACACAAGCTTTCGCGCGGTCCCGTTAGTAGCGCTGAGTATAACTGGTATACCAAAGGATCGAAAGACATTCCTCACCAAACGCAATCTTTTTTCGACGATCTTCCGTTCATCACCAGCATAGGATGACCCAAGGCGAGCAAATTCATCGAGGAAAAAAACGAAGGGCTTGATTTTTTTTTTTCCCGAAATGCTTGTTCCACTTCCAAACGCGTGGCTGGGCCGCGAAAGCTCTCGTCACCTCTGAGCGCAGCGACAATAAAGGCGTACAGCCGCAGCTCCTTGGCACCGTAAAATTCAGCCACAGATCCTTCGTTCAACTTCTCCGCAGCTTCGTTGATGCAACCCAAGAAAGCTACCGTTCGCTTACTGAACGCTTTATAAACTAATTGGGCATCGTCTCCAGCCTTGGCGCACGGCAAATAAAATACGTCACATGAGCCGCTCGTTTGCAAATTGAACGCCATCTGCGTCTTGCCTGTGCCCGAAGAGTTCTCCAATACAATAAATCTCGGATCACCTTTAGAAGACATCACACTCGTGATGGCATTTAGCACAATACTCAAGTCCTGTCCTTTATCCTTGGCGATTCGTTCCTCGATGCGCTTGTAGTTATCAATCGCTTCAAGGGAACGGAGGTCAATACTAATGGAATCCTCGGGGCACCATACTGACGTCAGGCGTTGTTCCTTCACCCAGAGCGCAGTCCTCTTTTCACGCCCAGCCGATCCAATTTCTTCGTAAATATCGAGAGGAGACTCCATCATGCTGTCTTTGTAGACTGTTAGGTTTGGTACAAGTATCCCGTTGAGATAGGAGCCGTCATACTATCTCTACACGAACATCGTTAGCATTTTAATTGTGCTTTCTTCAGATAGAGTGACCAAATCTGTGCCGACGATGACCACGCCGTCGGTATTCACCAACTGGAACCAGACCCTCGGTACTTCTATGACAGCAGGGCAGCCTTCGTCAAGTCCACAGCTGCCTAAACTTCCCCCCTTTTCAACGGCTGCTGGTCCCTGCGCGCGGTTTTGTTAGCAAAGACTTTGAGATCAGCGGGGTCGAGCTCTGGGAATGTTGGCCGCTAGCTTATTACTTGGGAGTAAGCTGCCTTCAGGAATTCATCAACACTGGGTGTTTCTTGCAGAGAATTCGTGGGAGACAACGATGCACCCTGCCGGTCGACCAACTGGAACCACAGTAGTCTCATTGTGCAAATTCTCGAATGCCTTACTCGTAAAAACTCTCATTGGGGATTGAGAGATTTCTCTGACTAACAATTCTCGATTGGAAGACCTTATGTGACCAAGTTGGTGTGACTGTCTATTCTGTTTCGTGAGTGTATCCCCGTGCAATACCTGTACTGCCCTCTACGGCGGCGTGTGCAGGAGTCTTGCCAATGCGCGGGTCCAAGCCTTGATACTCTCTCGTTGCAAAATAATCGGCTGCCTCACTGTGGTAAGTAGTCAACTCCGTTCGCTCATTTTTGACCTGCAATGCACCCGATGCATCTGGTTCACCAGACGCCGTGAGAGCGTATGTGGTTGCTTCACGATCGACTGCTGTCGAGTGAGAAGCAGTTTTGTACGTTCCAGATACCAATGAGAAGAACGGCTTATCGGCTTCATCCTCACCATCGACTGCTGCCTGTTCCACGCTTTGGGCTGTCTGATCTAGAGCTGGAATCACCTCACTAAAGTCCGTCTTGCATTGACCATCCCACTCCTCCGAAAGCGAGAGAGCAAGCTGGAGCTCGTACGGCGTCACGATGGGCTTATAGTACTCTTTACTGTCCATGAGAGTGTTCTGTTGACATGCCACGAGCACGAAGGCGTCGATTTCGGCGTAGTTTGCGAGTTTAGGTACATTGACCTTGCCCACCACAAACAAATACGACTTGCGTCCACTCCTGTAAATGTACAACAAGCGTTAGCGTTTCAAGCTTAAAAAAATGACAATAGCTGATCAACCTACTTCTTGATCAGCTTCTGAAGTCCATGCACCACGTCAAGATACTTGTTGACGCCAAGCGTGCCCATCAAAATACCGTAGATCTGAGCCTCCTTGGCTTGCTGGACGAGGAAAAATCTATAGTACAAAGAAGTTAGCTCTTCAAACAGCAAGCCACCAATTCGAACCTGAACCTAGCTTTACCGTCTCATTAGTGCACGGTTGACAGTCGCTCCCTCCTTGCGGGTAGACATCAGGTCGGGATTGTACGAGAAGCATTCCACACTGCTGTAGCGCATCAGAATGCTAGTGAGGTGCGCCGACTCAGCTCCAATATACAGTAGTGTGAACGTTTCCGGGGTGATCTCCACATTCTCAGTGTCCACCACAATCTCTTGTCCACCAATTGTAAGCACCGAGGAGCCCTCGTCAGCCTTGGACGATTCAATCTCTTGCAACTTTTTCGTCGGGTCGTAGAGCGTCTTCATAGTTCCAAACACCAGCTTCCGTTCAGCAAATTTCTCCTTCAAACCCTCAAACACCGCGCTGCTAGCGTGATGAAAGCGAGGTTCATACAACAATACCAGCGTCTTCATCACATCCACACTGGCAATACGCTCGCTCAGCTGCTGTACACAGTCATTCACTTCAATTGGGGCGTTGCCGAACACGTAGATCACCGGAATCTTGGTCGTCGCACTCAAACACGTGCGTCCATAGTGCACGATGCAGTCGGCCACGAGGTGCTGCGCCGCCACTTCGTCCACACAGCAGCTGCCATACGATGTGTCACCCAATATAAACACACGCTCCCATTGGCCGGTTAGCCCGTCCTTAAGCTCCTGCTGTACTTGCGACGCGTCTGGTAGTAACGAGTCCGGGAACTGCAGCGCGATTTTCTTGTATCCGCCGCGTCGGATCTGATCTACGGTACGTGCAATGTCGTAGTACACGCGCAGATCGCAGTCCTCGTTGCGTACGCCGTCGCTCTCCTGCACCTGCACCTGCATCTCGATGGCACGCGAGCCATCGTCGCTCTCGAAGGCCAACGCTACCGTCATCGCAATTGAATGACCAGCCATTCTGATAAGAATCAATTGGCACAGGTTTTGTGTTACCACATAAATGTGCATTTTCACAAGGGTATTAGATTTACCTAGACATCAGGCGACGTCACAGTCTTGGTGGTCGTACGCTGACGTAGCGACGTCTTGCTGTCATGCTCCTCGTCAAGCGAGTCCACGAGGTTCTTAAGCTCCTTTTCCTTCATGTACTCGCGGTTAATGAGCTTGCCCATGGTGTCTCCAGCCTTGATGCCTTCGCCAGCCTCCTTCAGCATATCCTTGAGCACCTGGCGACCATAACCCTCGCCCGTCACAGGACCGCTGCTGCCAAAGCCCACGGCCAGCGTCAGCTTCATCTTGGGCAAAGACAGCACCACCTCATGCTCGTCAATAGACGACACCGTGGCGCCTTCAGCCAGATCCTCCGTCACACTACCGTAGTACAGCGCTAGCTGTCGCGCACCATCGAAGCATTCCTCGTTCACAAAGGTGATAAGGTTCGTACGGGCCTCGGCGTCTAGATAAGGTATGAACGAGTTGTTCTTCTGGTTCAGATACAGCGTGATCAGCAGGAAAATGTTCGTGAGCTGCAGCATAAGCGAGCTCATCGTGGTCGACGGGAACGTGTTGAACGCGTACTCGTTGTTCAGCAACGCTGCCATCTTGAGGAGCAGCGGCAAGTCCGAGCACCAAAGCAGATACGGTAGGGTCGGGTAGTACCAAGAGTAGAACTGGTAGTGTAGCGTACGAGAGAAGACAATACCCGCGAAGTTCATCACGAACAGCGACGTCACGACGATCTCACTCTGGATCGGGAACGGTTCGTAGATCGCGAATGGCTTCATCGTCACGGCGCGGATCGTGCCGATGATGTTAAAGTGCTTGTCCAGCAACAGCACCATGAAGAATAAGTGGCCCAGCAACAAGATGATCGCGAATCCACCCGATACGAACGTTTCTTCATCCAGGAATCTCCAGTTAACTGTCCATTTGAATGTGAACACGCGACTGAGCTCGAAGGCCTTGTTCAAGTAGTTCCACCAGTTGTGCTTTAGGAACGGATAGGCCAGTGCAATCTGAATCGCAGCGCAGATGAATAGATACCACGCTGTACGTAGAATACCACACGACTGCAGTAGCAGGAAGAATAGCGCTGGTGCGAACAGCAACACGTTCATCTTGATGGACACGGCAAGACTGAAGAAAACGCAGCCCCAACGCCAGCGCTGGCGAGCGAACAGGTACACGGCGATAAACAGCAGCATCATAGCCACACCGTCATTGAACATACGCAGCAGGAATATCGAGTGTAGTCGCTTCGAGGTACACAAGAACACGGTGGCCCAGGGAGGCAACACTCGAGCGCGGTAGTAGATTGCGAGGACCGTAGCGATCATGATGAGGTAGAAGCCCAGGAAAATATACTGAGCACGCTGGATGTTCTGACCATTGTCAGTGACCGAGTGCAAGAAGGAGAATACGTAGAGGAAGCCAGCGGGATAGACGAGTGGGCCCGTGTCGCCACGGATCTGCATGTAGTCGCGCTCTCCGGCCTTGAACAGCTCCACTTGCTGCATGTACGTGGACCAGTCGATCTCTGTGTCTACATGCATTAGCACCCATTAGTTGACTGAGTTATTAAATGGTATTGGAATGCAGACGTACAGGGCACTTTCTGGATGATGAGGTAGCCAACGCAGGCCTCGACGAGAACCAAGCAGCAGGCAAGTTGCGGAAAGTAGCGGTAGCTCCACATGAGATCGTACAGGAAGGACAGCACACGGCTGTGCATGAGCGTGGTCTTGACATCTTTGTCGATGCGCGTTGCGCGCTTGGTCTTGGAAGTGGATGTCGACGTCTTCTTGCGCGCCATGGTGGCGGATACGATCGGCGATGCGATAATCCAATTGTGAGAACGACCACGTGGACAGCTATGCTGCAGGATAGGACATACCTGTCCTATATCATGATTTCAACATGTCAATGATGTGGACCACACTGTGGACTTTATCCATTTTTTCAGACGGACTGAAATTGTCGTTTCCAGCCAAATTTCCATAATCGGATCTATTCGCGACCCTTGGCCCGAATCGCGCAGCAATCGCACCGGTGAGGATTCCCACAGCTTCTATACGACTCAGCGGTCTCTGAGAGCGATAGACGACGCAGTAGACACGGAACCTGATGGAAGCGGCGGTGACCACGCAGCACGCGCACCCTAACACTGTGTTACACTGCTTGTATGGTTACTACAACTTAGGATACCCACGCAAGGAGCTAGCTCGCATGTACCACAAAGATCTCAAAACAATCGGCAATTGGATACATGCGTACGAACTCACAGGGACGATTTCATTAGCCCACATTCTCCATAGTATGGCTGTCCCTTGAAATGTCCAGCCCCATCGTTGCTGTAGCCGATCGGCAAACTCTTGCAACGTCACTTCACTAGCTGCTCCAGCTCGATCAGTAGCTACTGGATCAATGCACACCCTTTTAAACGATGCCAGCATTGGCAATATTTTAATTTTACTGCCATACTCGTACACATATAACAGTGCAACTTTGCCAGCGCCGATTGAGCTCAACCACAAATTCCACTGGTGCCCCGTTTTACGTTGTCTACGAGATGGCGACTTGGTAACTTCAGCTGCATAATTGCGACCCACTCTTTAATGACCAGCTCGGCAATAGACCACTCGCCAGTGTCGGCTTTTACAGCTCTGCGCTTCATGTGCCCACGAAATTTATCCCACAACTTTTAATTAAGGCGTTGAAAGTAGATCCCTCAACAGCATTAATCTCCAGCTCTTCACCTGTTTGGTCACGCTGACTGACAGCCTGCTTTACAATTGGCTTCACAATTAAGCGGTACAAATTGGCGTCAGCATTCGTGTGCCCTTCGATAGAAGAGCTGCTGCCATCGTGCGTACGCCGCTGCATCAAACTTGTTAGCACCCCTTCGTCCAGTGAGCTCGGGACAACCCGCGCCGCCGTGGCTCTTGGTGGTGTGTCGTTGCTGACTCCAACCGCCGCGGCCAACCGAGGTGACCTCCGCGTGGGTGGAGTGCGCTCTCGGCCTGAAGTTGTTTGGGGTAGATGTGGAGACTGCATGGTGGGTGGAGATCTGACGGGTCCATGGCTGGCTGTGTTTACTGGTGGTGATGCGTACTGCGGCGTATCCTGGACGAGCTGTATGTCCCCGGGGCTTAACGCTTCTTCCAATGATCTCCTCGCTCCAGAGCCCCCAGCATAAGGATGGCCGGGACGTACAGCTCGTATACTTCGGGTTCCACGGCGCGGGGTAGTAGAGGTGTCGCTCCTAGCGATGTCTTCGCTAGTAGAGCTCTCGTCACTCGCCATCGAGCAAAGCTTCTGCGCACAAGATGGTATCTAGATGCGAAAATGCATATTACCTATAACAGGTGGGCGATTCTGGTGCGATTGGGCGCGGCGCAATTCAATCAATCGCGCATGGGAATTTGGAATGAAACCGACAATAAATCCACTGAGGAATTTCCTAATCCAAGAGAAAAAGTACTAAAATTAGCTTCCGCATAGTTGCTTCATGGGATCGTGTTGCTACCACCAAAAGTGACACAAATTGATAATACCATTTTAGTAGACCTAAAAACCAATTACAAATCACCCAGTGGGTATCTGTGCAGAACACTAAACAACTTGCAAAAATTACACACCTGACCGTAAATTCTTCTAGATGACACACATTCGAACTTTCTAGATCTATTAGCGGTGTTATCGATCTTCTAGAACTATGTGCAGCTACTTGAAGGTACTTTATAACGACAACGTTTGCCACTCCAACTGTTAAAACTTAATCACTTCGCAATTAACCTAATAGTTACCAAGCTACAAAACATCCCCCCAACTCGCCCAAGATGTCAGGTCGCACTGGTCGCCGCTCTCACGCTACGGAAGAAGATCACCGCCAGCAAATGCTGAGAATGCTTGATGATCGAGACATCGTCCGCCGCGCTGAGCTCGACAGGTTTTCACGCGTGCTCCGCAATGATGACGACGTGGATGTCGACTCACCGTGCCCGATTTTCGACACGTGGTACAAGGAAGGAGCTGACGCCGTAAGCCGCCTGACCAACTACACTCCTCGCGAACTCAACGTACTGTGGTCCATAGTGCGGCTGCATGTCACGCGCTACTGGAACGTCGGAAGAAGACGTCGCACTCAGTTTGCTGGAAAGGACGTTCTCTTCATGACGTTAGCTGTGTTCAAGCGCGGAGGCACCTGGGATATGAATGCGCACGTTTTCCGGATCAAAGCCCCGACGTTTATCAAGACGATAACGTCGTTTTGCCGTGTACTTGCGCCGCGCGTTTACGATGAGTGGATGCGAGGAAAAGCGGTACAGACCAATATGCGGCGGCTGGTGACTTCCGGAAACACCTTTAGTCACTACCCGTGCGCGTTATATGCGACGGACGTCACTTTCCAACAGGCCAATCGACCTGCTGGAAACACGACCGAAGTGATGCCGTACTATAGTGCTAAGCACAAACTGTACGGCCTCAAGGTAGAGGTGTCTGTAAACCCTAAAGGCTTCGCTATCAACTGCAGCCAGCACGAGCGCGGCAACACGCCTGACATTTCGATCTTCCGGAACAACATGGAGTTCCACTGGAGCATGCGCGTGAAGTCGGAGACCGACAACCAAATTCCGGACGAGGGTCCGTTGCGCGAGGAATTTTCCAGAGAATGGGCAATCCTCACCGATAAAGGTTACCAGGCTGGAAGCTCACCTTCGCTGTATCCACCCGACTAAAGGCTCGAACCTCCCGCCCGAGGTTCAGCACCAAAATGAAAACATCTCTAGTGACCGAGTCCTCGTTGATAACTTCTTTGGGAGGCTCTGCAGTCTGTGGCGCATTGTTACGGACAAGTACCGCTCGATCGAGGACTTGTACGACGATATTTTCCAAGTTTGTGAGAGTTTGACCAATTTTCAGTCAAACCCACTGCGAGATGCCAACGGTGAGGCCTACGCACAGCGGGAGAACAGACTACGTGCTATTGGCAACACCATTAAAACAAAACGACGTCTGTCGCAGGACAAGTACCGGAGCCGAAAGAGACTGCGCCACCGCATGACGCTTGACGATCTTCCAGGCCACGACGATTTAATCTGCGACTCAGATGATACGCAACTGCCGGGTTACTAATTAGAAGTAGTTTAGTTCGAATACAAAACAGCATGGTAGGAACGGGCTGCGTTATTAACGATCTTGGCGATCTTCTAGAAGAAACACCAGTGTTCGATTTGTGCACACACATGTATTGCCCAAAATGTAGCTCGCGAATTACAATACAATGGTTATGCGACCTAGTGGGTGATGAGTGGATGATGTGATAACATATGCCCAAATGTCTCAGTAATTTACGTGAACACTCTGTTGTATTAAATTGCAGTATAAGTACTACGTCAAAACACAAATGAAATCATGGCATTCAACAGGTGGCATTTGGTGGAGATATAAGTGACAGGATAGATCACTGACTTAAATTATGTACCCTGTACGGTTTTCATATTTTCCAAAATTTCAAAGGCGCCTGGATGACAAATGCTAAGTCTTTGAAGTTTGATTTTGGTAAGCATTTTGGTGTTATGTCAAAACGTTTGACACAGCCAAAAGATACTCATGTTATTTTGACACTGTCATCTACTCCACATTATCGAATGTAACGCTTAAGCGTCGCTGTAATGATATAACTTTGTGCAGATAGCGCATGCGTAGGTAGCCCACAACATCATACATCGAATCGCTCCAGTAGTCTCCCCAGTTTTCGGGGTTTGCACCGAACAGTAGCAGCTCCAGAACAAAAAGGCACCATATTCCACACGACGAACTGTCCTTCTGCAGGCATCCAGTAATGGCTTCATAAGAGAGCTGGTCCGTGATGCCGAGCATCCTCGAAGGGAGAGCGCTTCCTGCGACTACAAGATATTAGTGAACACAGAACAGACGACAGGGCGTATAGCAAGATGAGTACAGCGTACGATTTCGGCCGCGAGGAATGTGGCCAACACAGCTTGAACCAGCATAACTCGCTTTCCCACCTCCAAAGTCGGCTTAATTTTGCAAGCTTTTAATTACGGATGGATTCCGCCGGCAGCAACACAGAGAGTACTACTTTCGGTGCCTCTCCTTTCGTAATTGATCATGAACAAATCCAGCTGATGCAAGCCATGGATCTACGTGATGACGTGCAACTACACGAATCTGATCATCGCAGCTCAACGTATGGACGTGCCTACGACAACCGCAAAACGTGGCGAACGACACATTTGGGTCACAATTAGCGGCTCAGCTACGCTTCAAACAATATGCAGTGAAGTGCGGTTTTCAGCTGTACGTGAAATGCAACAGTACAAAGATCAACAACAGTGGTAATGCCAAGTACTGCTGCAAGAAGCTGCATGGTCAGCAGTTCTTCCACATCATGACACCATTTTCAAAACTGAGTGCCCATTTTTTATCAACGTTTCAGGCGACAACGGCTGCTGGTAAAATGCATCAGTGAATTTTAGCCACAGCCATCTTATGAGTGTCGGGTTCACGCAAGCTCCGTGCGCAGAAGGAGCAGCATCCGCAGCGAGAACGTTGTTACGGAATACGACAGAGCAGTTTAGTGATGGCACAGCACTCGTCAACAAGGAGATGCTCCCAGCGCACAACAACTCGACAGATACGACGACATGGGCAGCTATCACTCTTTTCCTTAAGAGCAAGTGGGTTAGGGTGAACCGCACAGTTGTGTCTCGAATTAAGGACTGCTCGAGGACAATCTTCACGGCGATCTATTGGAAAACTATCAGAGGCTAGATTCTTTTTTGTATCTAGTGACTACGAAGAACCCTGGCCACTTTGGCGCCTGGAAAAGTACGAAAATGGTGTCTTTCTGTGGGCCTGCTTTGTCCCCAGCGCTGGAGACCACGTTGCCCGGAATGCACGACCTTTGTTCGGGTTTGACGGTGACCATTTAAGATACAATGAATATACAGAGTCTTTCTTGTGGCTACAGCAAAACAAAACTATTTTTTTGGGCGGGTTTTGTTTGGTTTCCAAGGAAGACCAGGATAATTGGAGCTAGTTTCTACGCGTCGTCAAGAAGCTATAGGAGGATACACCAAATCTACCGAAATATCGGACCAACAAAAAGGCATGATTGCTCCCGTTCGTGAAGTCTTTCCAGACGCAGGACACCGCTTTTGTTTGTGCCACATAATGGGCAACAACCTCAAAAGGCACCGCTTTGATAAAAGAGGAACGGGGCCTCATATGCGACGAAGCAAGGAGAAAACGACTATGCGTTGTACAAATCTGAACTGGCAGCAGTAAAACTGATGAGCCCTGGTGCATCAGGAACCGACTGTGCGGAAAGGCCACAGTCCCTGAGTGTACGTACAGTGCAACGCACATTAATAAGAATAATGTTGGTTTTACTATTTTAAAGTCAAGTGTTGATGTAGTCTGCGGTACTAGTTCTGGGGAGCCAATCATTAGCTGGATCCTGCCCCTTCTCTATTTGAGGAAAAATTCAGTGCGATGAGGAATTCGGAGCAGGAAGCGAGGATGAGCTCCTCACTTCCTCTTTTGCTTCGGTCTGAGCACAACCGTTTGATAGCAGTAGACAAGAGGATAAAGGAAATAAAGTGTATTGATCTCTATAAGTCTTGAGTCCATTCTAACAAATGCCTAACACTATGGAGCATCTAGAAGCTCTTTCAGCAAGAGAATTGACCGGCAACTGGGTCAAATGTCAATTTCTGGGGGACAATCTACCGACTTATGGTGAATTGACTTCAAATTTGTCAGAGCATGCTAACCAATGGACTGGAAATAATTGCCGGTCTGCGAAATCCCTCGACGCGTTTGCTATATACTTTTGTCGACTCGCAGAATTAATGTCCACACATAGACAAAGAGCTGGAAAGTGATTGAAGGATGGAGACAGGTCGAAGTTGGTCCCAAAACTGCAAAAAAAAAAAAAAAAACTCACAGATCTTACAGTTGCCTTTGAAACCTGTGAAGAGATCCCGTGCATGGAAGGGTCGTACAGCGTACGCTATTTGGGCCGACGAAATTGCCGGGGTATGTTCATGCGTGCAGGCAAGTTGGCCTACCAGCAAGGAATGTATGAGTGGAGATTGGAGGGACACAGAATTTCCCTGTGTTCACGCTGTAAGGGCTGCAATCGTAGTTGAGAAGAAGCTTTCAAGCCTCTGTAATACGACTCGCATGTCCATGTCACACTTCAGCACGACTTACAACTTCCCCTTGAAGCCGTGGCCAACCAGGGTGCCACTCGCAAAGGACATGCCAATTAAATTGCAGCTTGTGATTGAAGAGCCCCAAGAAAAAGGTTACCGTGAACTTAAACCTGGTATAAAACACAGACACAGACACAGACACAGACACACACACACACACACACACACAGACACACACACACACACACACACACACACACACACACACACACACACACGTAACAAATTAGAAAAAGCATCCCGCTTCAAATGAGAATAGACCTTTGATCACTTACCGATTGGCCCGTGAAGGAGCAGGCCAGTGTGCAGGCAAGCACTTGTTCAGGTCAACAAGCTGGGAAAGAAGTAGCCGGGCTTTTCCATGTCGCTGTGGTTTTGCGTTGTAGCTGCAGTTTTGCTTTGTCGTCGGGTATGATTAACCTACTTTTAACGTTGGATTATGTTCAAGCTTTAGATACACGAAATAGATTGGTCGTTGTTTTAGAGACGGTATTCATAAGCCAAAGTTGATGCAAAGCACAATAATCCACAAGCTAAGTTGACTTACAATAAAACCATAGCAAAAAAATATTAAAAATAAAATGTAGCCAGATGCTCCAACAGATACAGTACATCCCATTGCCTATCCGTTTATTTGTTCGCGGCTGTTTGTACATTTAACCCCGTGCCCCACAATAACACCAGTACACTCCGGATACCTGTAGAGTACATGACCATGTACATGTTCCGTGGCTATCAATATAATTAATAAAGTAATTAACTAAGGCGGAATTAGACCCACTTATAGGCATTAGCCTGTTTAATGC